GTCTGTTAGTGTCCCCGGGAGCCCGAGGGCATCCCCGCCCTCCTGGGTCCTGCTCCGACTCCCTGCGAGCCCCTTTCCGCCCGGGAAGGTTGGTGCAGCTCCTGCTTCTCCGGGTCGGGGCTCTCCTGTCCTGGGGACACTCGCCCCGGCCTCAGCCCGGCTCCTCGCGGGGCCCCTCCCCCTCGGAGGCCTTTTGTTTCTTTATTTCTTTTTCCCCCGTCTTCCTACCTTGATAGAAGCGCGAACTTTTCTCACTGTAGCGTTCCAGCTGGTCTCTCTTTACATCTCAGGCCGAATTCGTAAATTTTCAGGATGGTTTGAAGGTTATCTAGGTAATTTGGTGGGCACAGGTGATTTTCTTCTTTTTTTAAGAGAGGGAAGAGGGTGTAGAGGGAGAGAGAATCTTAAGCAGGCTCCATGCCCAGTGTGGAGCCCAACACAGGGCTCGATCTCAAAACCCTGAGATCATGACCTAAGCTGAAATCAAGAGCCAGACGCTGAACTGACTGAGCCACCCAGGTGCCCCTATGCTTTTTAACTTTTATTTTATTTTGTTTTATTTTATTTTATTTTATTTATTTATTTATTTATTTATTTATTTATTTATTTATTTATTTATTTATTTAAAGATTTTATTTATTCATGAGAGACACAGAGAGAGAGAGAGAGAGAGAGGCAGAGACACAGGCAGAGGGAGAAGCAGGCTCCATGCAGAGAGCCTGACATGGGACTTGATCCCGGGTCCCCAGGATCACACCCTGAGCTGAAGGTGGCACTAAACCACTGAGCCACCCGGGCTGCCCTAACTTTTTAAATAAGAATTTTATTAGGTGTTGTTCAAGAAGGTTTGGGATATTTGTCATAAGACTGTGTAGCCAAAGAAAGTTGGCTTTTTAGAGAAACATACTATAGGTAACCATATCCTAAAATTTATTTTCAGTATTGATTTGAACAGCCGGCCCCCGTTTTCTCCTCCAGGGATTTAGTAAGGTTTTGGGTTTGTTTGTTTGTTTTCTTTTTTTGTACAGCAATGAGTTTTACATATGATTAGACCCTATTTTCTTCCACATAACGTCTCAGTGTCTTTTTCTTCCAGGTTTTCTTTTTTCTTTTTAACATTTATTTATTTATGATAGACACAGACACACACACAGAGAGAGAGAGAGAGAGGCAGAGGGAGAAGCAGGCTCCATGCAGGGAGCCCGATGCAGGACTCGATCCCGGGACTCCAGGATTGCACCTCGGGCCAAAGGCAGGTGCCAAACTGCTGAGCCACCCAGGGATCCCCTCTTCCAGGTTTTCTTTATTTCTTTATCAAGGGTGGGGAAGGCAAGGTCTATTTTGCTTAAACTTGGGCAGTCTAAAGCCAGTCCAGTTTTTTAATAGTCTCTTGATAAGAGATAGGGAAAGACTTATTGAAGCAATCAAGAGGATCCTTAGACAATAGCAGACCCTTCATTTCATCTTAGTTTTCTGTCTCTTTGATCTTAACCATTCTGGTTATCAGGGCGGGGTGCCTGACTGGCTCAGTTGGTAGAACATGCAACTCTGTGTCTCAGGGTTAAGAGTTGGAGCCCTACAGTGGACATGGAGCCTACTTTTAAAAAAAGAAAAAGGGTGGCTCAGCAGTTGAACACCTGCCTTTGGCTCAGTGCATGATCCTGGATTCCTCGGATCGAGTCGGGCTCTTTGCATGGAGCCTACTTCTCCCTCTGCCTGTGTCTCTGCCTGTCTCTCTGTGTCTCTCATGAATAAATAAATAAAATCTTTTTTAAAAAATATAACAGTAGGGATCCCTGGGTGGCGCAGCGGTTTGGCGCCTGCCTTTGGCCCAGGGCGCGATCCTGGAGACCCGGGATCGAATCCCACATTGGGCTCCCGGTGCATGGAGCCTGCTTCTCCCTCTGCCTGTGTCTCTGCCTCTCTCTCTCTCTGTGACTATCATAAATGAATAAAAATTAAAAAAATATATAACAGTGATTTGACAATTGCACATATTACTAAATGCCCACCACAAGAAGTGTTGTTATCATGCATCACTTAACCATTCTGGTTATAGACATGGGTATGTTAGGAGGAATTATGTAAAGGGTTATAATGTAGAGAAAAGGACCACCACCAGCGTGATCTCAGGTACTTAGACTGAAGTTGAAAAGCAGGAAGGTGCTCAGTATAATGTAGTTTTGTTCTTTTTTAAGATTTTATTTATTCATGAGAGACACACAGAGAGGCAGAGACACAGACAGAGGGAGAAGCAGGCTCCCCAAAAGGAGCCCGGTGTGGGACTTGATCCCGAGATCAAGCAGATGCCCAACCGCTGAGCCACTCAGGCATCCCATAATGTGGTTTATTATGTTGGCTTATTATATAAATGCTATAGATATACATTTATACATGTATTGATTTTTTAAATTTAAGATTATGATATTTGGAAGAATAAATGCTCATTGTGAGCCTCCCAGTCCAACATAAAAAAACCATCACTCTGGCTAAAGCCCTGGCAGCTTATCCCACCAATTATATTAGGCTTTTCTTTTCTCTTAAGTAGAAGTCAAAGTTTACAAAATAATAGCAGACATTTAGATGGACTACTATGGAGTGGTAGAAGGGACTTCAGCACTGAGGCTTATCATTTTTCTTACTGGGGAGCCAAATCAGGACTGGAGAGACCAAGCTCTTTTTACTTGAATACACAGAAGCATAGTGACTATTTGTGACTTCTGTCTTTCTCTCATTTTAATGTACTGTAATGTCAAAATCCGGGTGAAAACCTAACTCATTTGGGATCTTGATATTCAGAACCCCAGTCAGTACATTCTAAGAATGGAATTCGGATTACTGAGATGTGCGCTTCAGAGAGTCTCCTAGGTCTGCATTTGGCTTCCAGCCTGCTGTTTCACCTATAAAGCTGCTTACCTATGTCCCCAGAGGTGTAATACTATATTTATACAAATTACTCAGGGATTAGTGATGAATTTGCAGAAACAGGATCTTTAGATTATGAAACTCCACATAAAGGTACTTACATAGCTGATGAGAGGAATAAGCAAGGGCATTTCAGCAACTCAGAAATGTTTGTTGCATTAGAAAAATGTTTTTTTTAATTGTTTTTCAAAATGTTTTGTTTTAGGAATTGAGGTACCTAAGTTGGGGATATCTATATTTATTTGGGAGTGGTTAGTAATCTATATTGAAGAAGATGGGAGATTTATTCTATAAAAAACAGTCATCAGGGTGGTTAGCAAGGCCACCTCATGGGAACATGAAAGGCATCCAGCGTTTCCCTCTATGGACACATGTACAAAATATATACAGATACAGTGGAATATTTTTTATTTTAAAGATTTTATTTACTTATTTTAAAGATTTATTTATTTTAGAGGGAAAGCATGAAGGGGTAGAGGAAAGAGACTCTCAAGTGGACTTCTTACTGAACATGGAGTCCGAGGTGGGCCGGATCCCATGACCTGAGCCAAAACCAGAGTTGGCCACTTAACTGACTGCACCACCCAGGCGCCCCAAGATACTATTTATTTGTTTTAGAGAGAGAGAGAGAGAGAGAGAGGGAGCATGAGGGGGTTGAGAAGCAGAGGGGGAGGGAGAGATTCCTGACCTCCATTTTGTAACATTCTAGGTATCTCCAGTTATCTCAAGGAATTTTTTTTTTTAAGATTTTATTTATTCATGAGAGAGAGGCAGAGACACAGGCATAGGGAGAAGCAGGCTCCATGCAGGGAGCCCAACGTGGGACTCGATCCCAGGTCTCCAGGATCAGGCCCCAGGCTGAAGATAGCACTAAACCGCGGAGCCCCAGGCTGCCCAATCTCAAAGAATTTATAAAATTCTATTGATTTAGTTAGTTAGTTATGAGAGACACAAAAAGAGAGGCAGAGACACAGGCAGAGGGAGGAGAAGTAGGCTCCATGCAAGGAGCCTGATGTGGGACTCGATCCCTGGAATCCGGGATCACACCCTGAACCAAAGGCTCAACCGCTGAGCCACCCAGGCGTCCCGGAGTTTATAAAATTCTTAAGGCAAAATTAACTTTAATTTACTTAAATCTTTGAATCACATGCTATATCACACTTGTTGACACTTGCAGAAGAGTTTAGCTTATTATTCAGATCAAAATGACCTTTAAAGGGTGCTCATAAGTAAAAAGGGCTTTAAACAGAAGTGACCTTTTTTTTACAGGTGGCTTAAGTGTAGAGAGTTATCATGCTTTAAGCAAATCAATTATTTCAAATAACAATGCTTCAAAATAAACACTTCTGTAAGACTGAGAAAAATTCTAGGCAGTGTTTCCCAGCAGTGATTAGATGAGTTTTTATAATTTCCTAAATTAGAATTAAATACGTAAAGATTTAACAGTTACTAATTTTTAGGTATTATTATATTATTTATTTAATTTTTTTCTTCATAACTATAAAATCCTGTAAGATTATTTATTTATTTACAGAGAGAGCGTGTGCACAAGTAGGCGGGGCTGCAGGCAGAGGGAGAGAGTGAAGCAGGCTTCCCCGCTGAGCAGGGAGTCTCCGGGCTTCATCCCATCATGATCTGAGCCCAAGGCAGATGCTTAACCAACTGAGCCACCCAGGGGCCCCTGTAAAATTCTTTATAAAGTTATCCCTCTCCTAGTCTTCTTTTGATTACCAGAAATCTGAAAGTTGTTTTTTTTACTTTTAACAAATTGTATCAATGAGAAGTATTTTATTATCCCTTGATGTAAGTAATTGAACTTGTTTGGTACTTATATGTACATTTTCAAGTAATTTTAGTATATGCACTGCCGAAGCAGACACATACATTTTCAAATAAGATTACTTTTTCCCTCGATGCTTTATATGAGCCGTGTTATGTTGTAAGTTGCTCCAGCTTTTTGTGTTTGTTTAAAAGAATGTCTCCCTTTTTATGCATGTATTAACACAGTTATTTATAGGTAAAAATCAAGAGAAAGTACCTTATCATATAATCAAGTTTGTCTCCTTCTCTTTTAGGATATTTTCTTTTCTGGATGTTGTTACTTTGTGTCGCTGTGCTCAGGTCTCCAGGGTAAGAATGGTTGAGATGATTATAGGGGGACCCCTTCCTGATGCTGATGATGCTGCTATGTCTCTGTGGGAGGCAAACCATTTACTTCAGATGTTAGTTGTATGTTACATTTCAGAAGATGGTATTTTGTGCATGACATTCCCAAACCCATGCAATTCTACAGTGGGATTCTATAATATATACTGTCTCTAATTTTTTTTGGAAATCTTAACTATTTGTATAATGCTAACAGAAGAAACATTTTAAAGGAATAAGTATTAAAATCAAAGGGTTAGACTCTACTCAGAATTGTAATAAAATAGTGTTCATTATGTTTTCCTAGTTCATTTTATATGCACCTACACACAAAAGGCTGAAGGCTCTAATTCTATTATTTCCCCATATTGCTTTCTTCAAAATGTAATAGCTAGAATATAATTTACTTAATTATAGGACAAACCAGATTCCATTCTCAAAGTCAGTTTTTAATTTCACTTTTATTATCTATTTTTGTCAGTTGACATTGTTGTGACAAAACTGGAGCATCATAAACTTATTGGCTGCCACTAATATGAAGAATGGGTTCTGTGTTGTGAGAAAAGTGCCTTATGAACCATTCCTACTCTCTTTTGTAATACAGATATATAATGATTTACTTACAGTGAATGAGCACATGTAATCATTTTTTAATAAACTTAAAAAATGGTTTTTTGCTTGTTCATTTAAGAAACATTTATTGAAAAGCTGCTGTATATGAGATACAGTCCTAAGTGCTGGATCTGTAACATGGTTATACCATATTGTATTTATCTTTGTAGGTGTGTCCAGATTTCAAATAACCAACACTACTCCTCTAAAAAAAAAACCCCACAAAACTTGCCGTAGAAAATTCACTGTCTTACTAACTTTAACATAATTTCTGCATCCCACAGCCATACCAAATCAGTATATCAGCTACTTTGGAAACCATCAGTAGTATTTTGATGATTTCTCTTCATGACTTCCTGACCCTTGTACATGAATGGTTGCTGTAGACATGGCTGGTACAAATGAATAGGGTTTTCTTTATATCGCCACATGAAGCTGAGGTCTTCATTGAGAAACAAAATGCCCAGACTAGTGTCTAAATCTGTTTGTTTAGGTGCAGTCTCATCTCATGGATGTTGATTTTAGTGAATTTTACTTGTTTTCACTTCAAGTTCCTCTTCCCCATTAATATTTTTCCCCATTAATATTTTAACTTAAAGGAGAGCACAACACCAATTTTCATTAAATCTGGAGAATTAGTACATCAATAGTTATGCTATTGTTCTCTGTATTTGAAGTATGTAATGAATTAGCTTTTATTTTTTTTTAAATATTTTTTTAATTTTTATTTATTTATGATAGTCACAGAGAGAGGGAGAGAGAGAGGCAGAGACACAGGCAGAGGGAGAAGCAGGCTCCATGCGCCGGGAGCCCGACGTGGGATTCGATCCCGGGTCTCCAGGATCGCGCCCTGGGCCAAAGGCAGGCGCCAAACCGCTGCGCCACCCAGGGATCCTTGAATTAGCTTTTAAAAGAAAAAAAAAAAAAACTCCAGAAAGGAACCTGTCATTCCTAACTTTAGTCTTAGTTTGGTGTGTGTTTCCTCCTTATGGGGGAAAGTAAGGAGGTGAAAAATATCAAATCAAACCAGAAGTATACTTAGCCTAAGAATCTAGTAAACATATAATCTTTGAAAGTTTTATCTCCCACAGGTAGCCATTTAAGGAACCATTAGGACCACAGAAAGAAAAGCAACATTGAGCTCTTGAGAAAACCTTAAAGATTTCCAGAATGATAACTATATTTACCCTCATACCCCTGGTCTATTTCTGGCTGTGTGATACTTACCCTGGGGCTTATGAATGTATCCACAGTTTCCTTTTTAGTATCTCAGTCTTGGCTCCATTTTGATATGTTGTAGTAAGAAATAATATTCTGGGGATCCCTTGGTGGCGCAGCGGTTTGGCACCTGCCTTTGGCCCAGGGCGCGATCCTGGAGACCCGGGATCGAATCCCCGTCGGGCTCCCAGTGCATGGAGCCTGCTTCTCCCTTTGCCTGTGTCTCTGCCTCTCTCTCTCTCTCTCTCTCTCTCTCTCTCTCTCTCTCTGTGACTATCATAAATAAATAAAAATTAAAAAAAATAATAATAAATAAAATAAAAAAAAAGAAATAATATTCTAAGTTTGTACCTCTACAATAAGACTTTTGTTTACACTTTAATAGGGAAAACTTTTACAGGCTTTATCATTAAAATATGATACATAACAAATTCAGACTTATTGGAGTCATTTTTTCTAATCCTGAAAAGTTGAAATTCTTGACTCTCTTTAGCTTAACTGAAGGAAGAAATGTGTGAGAAGTCTTAAACGTTCACTGTTACAAAATTTCTGCTGAATTGAGTTAGAGGGAGGGATGACCAATTGAAAAACATGCCTCAGTGAGCAAATTGGTAACTGAAGAGAGCAATAAGATTCTGTTGTGTATGTGGAGAAATGAGAGTTTCTTTTATAAGTCCCAGGTCAGCATATCAGTGTCAAGTCCGACCAGGTGATGCTATGGATAGCAAATATGTGTACTGAACATAGCAATATTTAGAGTACTTTACTCTTTCTGTGGTTTCACCTCATCTTGCTCCTAGTTGAACGATGGAGTAAGAGACTTGTTTTTCATCAGCAGAAGTATCTTATTTGGTGATTAGAAACTAAATCTTCCAGTTAGAAAGGAGTTTCTGGCTAGGATGCTTCACACAACCTGTCCTTTCCCAACCCCGCCCCCCAGCTGCTTGTTTCTGTATCCACTAATTTATAAGATAATCTAATTGGATAAAGTAGGAATCAGAAACAAAGCAGACCTTTTGGGAGTTAATGGCGGGGAGTTGAGAAATTTTTTAGTCTATTTTAATCTTTAGTTTGAATTGTAAACTTGAATAGTGCTGGGTTTCTCCCTTGAGTGACTGCTCATTTTGTCTCTTTTTCTTCAAAACAGGCCTGGAATGTTCTGGCTCTGGATGGCAGTAACTGGCAGCGAATTGACCTGTTTGATTTCCAGAGGGATATTGAGGTATAATTATGTGGTGTGTGGCCCCATTTCTCATGTTAGGATGTAATTACAGCATGGAACAGATTAGCCCCAACCATATAAATCTCCTTTCCCTGGAGAGAGAAAGTATTAATTTCAGTGTATCTGAACTTCTTGGGAACCTGCAATGTTTTGAGGATAAGCAGAAATACTTTACTGATGGAATACTAAATTATTTAGCATTTTTAGGCTAAAAATTTTTGTTTTTATTTTTGTGGTAGAAAGAAAGAAAGAAAGAAAGAAAGAAAGAAAGAAAGAAAGAAAGAAAGAAAGAAAACTTTCCTTTCTACAGAAAGTGCTTTTTTCTTTTTAAGCTTTATTTATTTATTCATGAGAGACACAGAGAGGCAGAGACATAGGCAGAGGAAGAAGGTGGCTTCCTGTGGGGAGCCTGATGTGGGACTTGATCCCAGGACCCTGGGATCATGACCTGAGCCAAAGGCAGGTGCTCAACCACTGATCCACCCAGGAATCCCTACACAAAGTGCTTTTAAAGTAATACCCACTGACATTATGCTGGATTCTTAGTTTTTCACAGTTGTCTAATCTTCATGGATATAAATGTTTAAAGAATCATGACCCACAAAATCATTCTGCAAGCTTCTGTTAAGTGTCCATTTTGTCTCTGCTGTGTTTAGAATGATATAGTAAACACTTTGGCAAGGATTCAGCAGTAATAAAGATAGCTAATATCCTTCAGTAGCTGCAGTTTAATCAAGAGGACAGTCTGCATTAATATAGTGGTGTGAGTGGGGTGCCTGAGTGGTTCAGTCGGTTAGGTGTCTGCCTTTGGCTCAAATCATCTCAGGGTCCTGGGATCATGTCTGGCTCCCTGCTCAGCGGGGAACCTGCTTCTCCCTCTGCCACTCCCCCTACTCATGCTCTGTCTCTCTGTCAAGTAAATAAATAAAATCTTTTTAGGGACACCTGGGTGGCTCAGCGGTTGAATGCCTGCCTTTGGCTCAGGGCGTGATCGCAGAGTCCTTGGATTGAGTCCCGCATCAGGCTCCCTGCATGGAGCCTGCTTCTCTCTCTGTCTCTCTCCCTCTCTGTCTCTCATGAATAAATAAGTAAAATCTTTAAAAAAAAATCTTTTTAAAATATGTTTGTAATGGCATGAGAAGTACAGAACACCATTTCCTCAACTACAGAGTATCTTCCAAATTGAACAAAATAAACAATGTAGGGTTTAAGCCTTTTTCAGGTAGATGAGTTGATCAGTAAAGCTTTCTCAAAGTAAGTTGAAATTTCTTTATTGTGGGATGCCTGGATGGCTCAGCAGTTGAGCATCTGCTTTCGGCTCCGGGTGTGATCCTGGAGTCCTGGGATCGGGTCCTGCATCAGGCTCCCTTCATGGAGCCTGCTTCTCTCTGGCTCTTTCTCTGTGTCTCTCATGAATAAATAAATAAAATCTTTAAAAAAAATAAATTTCTTTATTGAATTAACTAGGTTTTGAAAACAAGAAGCCTCTTCTTTGTTTATAAATTATTGAAAAACGAGGATGTGGGACACTGGGTGGCTCAGCGGTTAAGCGTCTGCCTTTGGCTCAGCACAGGATCCTGGAGTCCCATGTCAGTCTCCCTGCATGGACCTGCCTTTGCCTATGTCTCTGCCTCACTCTGTGTGTATCTCTCATGAATAAATAAATAAAATTTAAAAGAAAAGAAAAAAATGAGGATGTGTTCTCTTCAAAAACAATATTGTGCCTTACTTTTTTGTTTTGTTTTGTTTACCTGTCTTTTTTTACAGGGCCGGGTAGTGGAGAATATTTCAAAAAGATGTGGGGGCTTTTTACGAAAGTTAAGTCTTCGTGGGTGTCTTGGAGTAGGAGACAATGCATTAAGGTAAGAACATCACTATTGGTTAACTGGTCTTCTTAACTGAATATAAATGATTTTCATGTTCTGAAGCTATTCAGAACCCAAACACACATACATAGCTTATAACACAAAAAGATCCAATACTGGGATGTATTGAGAATAAAACAAAGCCCCATATCATAAATGGCTCTTTGGAGCTTTGAATAAAAATTTTTTTTTAATTTGTTGGCTCAAAGTTAGGGTAATTTTAACCTTGGTTGGAACAAAGATCAATGTTTAAAAGTTTATGGTTAAAAATGAATTTATTTGTAAATGTGAGCTAATTTTGTACCAGTATCCAATATTACAGACAGTAATGTCTTTTATTATTTTTTGTAATGCCTAGAATTATGCCCATTTCATTTCAAACCTTTAACTGTCTTTCTTTCCTGTAAAGGACTTTTGCGCAAAATTGTAGGAACATTGAAGTACTGAATCTAAATGGTTGTACAAAGACTACAGATGCGTAAGTATTTTGTGTTTTAGAAGGGTAAGTCATAGCTTCTTGTGTCCTGTCTGTATTAGCTTTAAATGTGGGCTATTAAATATATTTAGTAAATTTCATTTTAGTCTTACAGAAGAAAGATATATTAAAAGGAAAAAACATTAAAATAGAAATGGCATAAGAAATGTGTTTTGGAATCTGACCCAAATTCTTTCTTGATACTTAAAGTGAAACTTAAAGACCATGGATATGAAGTAGGGATTTTTTTTTTATAGTAGGGATATTAATGATATAAATTACTAGGACTACTTATATTTCAAGAAGACACTAGTAGCTTTACCGTGTCAAAAGACATGGTAAACAGGAGTGCCTGGGTGGCTCATTTAGTTGGGTGTCTGACTTTGGCTTTGGTCAAGATCTTAAGATCCTAGGATCTAACCACACTTTGTTGGGCTTCCAGCTCAGCAGGGAGTCTGCTTGTCCCTCTGCCCCTCCCCCAACCATGCTGGCTCACTCTCTGAAACTCTCTCTCTCAAATAAAATCTTAAGAAAGAAACACACAGGGTAAACAGATAATTCTACAAAAAGTTATAAAATCTTAAACACATACTAAACAGCTTGTAATAATCAATATTGAGAGCATTTATTAAATGACCTTTTAAATATATTGTGTCTGTGTCAGTTACAATATAAATGAAAGCAATCTTTTATCCTTGAAAGCTTACTATCACAGACAAATAGACAAGGAAGGTAAACATAAAACCCATTCAATCCAGGGTATCTATTGGTAATAATATGTATCAAATAACATTTAAAATTACATAGGGAAATTGTTGCCTATTATGAAGTGAAGCCATTGAGGAAGCTTGTTTATACAGGGTGGGGCTAGGATTATTCAGTGAATGTTCCTGTTCAAAAAGGCCTCCGGAAGGAGATGGGATCTTTAGAATTGCTTAATGAAGGCAAGTGGAAGACACTCCAGACACAGGGTACAGTTTATTTCATTCCTTTCTTTGAGCTCACAGCATTGTTAACTTTTAATACAAGAAAGTGTCTGAAAGACAACTGTGGTTGTTAATTCTACTGTGGTTATTAATTCTAACAAGTATTATTTCTGTGAATTGATTTGACCTTTAACATGAGAAATGAATCTAACGCCTCCCCTAACTATGACTTTTTACCAGTAGCCTACGTTTATTTTAGATAAATTACCTGTTTATTTTTTGCTTTTGAATATTTAATGTTACAGAAATTAAGAATTTGACCACTTTGATATCTAGACAAGTGACATAAAATTTACACTTTTTTCTAGCTATCCTATATACCAAAGATAAATTGACAAAAATGTAATGTAATTTATTACAAGGCTATTCATTTTTGCTGTTTCTAATAAGAAGTAGCAAAAGACAGGAAACAATCCAAATGTCATTCCATAGGAAGGAGACTGTTAAACGGAATGAAAAGAATATATAGTATTCTGAAGTGATCTGTAGTATTCTGTGATCTTAACATACTATTAAGAAAGCAAACTGCAAAGAAGTTTTATAAGATACTTTTTGTAGGGGCACCTGTGTGGCTCAGTAGGTTAAGTGTCTGCCTTTAGCTTAGGTCATGATCTTGGAGTCCTGGGATCAAGCCCTGCTCAGCAGGGTGTCTGCTTCTCTTTTCCCTCTGCACCCACACCCAGCCCATGCTCCCACTTGCACATGTTCTCTCTCTCTCTCTCAAATAAATAAAATCTTTTTTAAAAATATGCTTTTTATAGGGCCAGGAGACAATGTAAACAAATATTACTCTTTTTATATTTTTAAAAAGAATGGAAAGATAAAGAATGAATCAAAAGGTGATTTATGGGAGAGAGAAAACAGGGATGAAAGGGAGACTCTGAAATATCATGTGTTATGGTTTTACTTTATTAGCTGTGTAAATGTTTTACGTAATTAAAATATAAATTAAGTCAAAAAGAAATCAAAGCAGTCCCTAAACACTGAAAACAAAATAAAACACATGAACCCAATCATACCAAATGGAGCTATAACTACACAGAGAAGTTACTTGTGCTGCCTTTGATTTCCTCTTTTTTTTTTTTTTAAGATTTTATTTATTTATTCATGAGAGACACAGAGAGAGAGGCAGAGACATAGGCAGGAGACGAAGGCTCCATGCAGGGAGCCTAATGTGGGACTCAATCCCGGGACTCCAGATCATGCCCCGAGCCAAAGGCAGATACTTAACCGCTAAGCCACGCAGGCGTCCCTGACTTTTGGTTTCTTACAAAATGTTTTAAACATATACCAAGGTAGACAAAATAGTATAATGAACCCATCACCCAGCTTCAGGTTGATAAAACTGAGAAATTACCACTTTATGGCCAATCTTGTTTCATCTGTATCCCCAAACTTTTTGTATTTTGAAAAAAGCCTGAACATTATATTATTTAATCTGTAAATATATATTTCTAAAAGATAAAAGCTTTTAATATATGAATGTTAACTTCATCACTCCTATAAAAAAACTTAATCTCTTAAAATCATCAAATAACCACTGGTCAGTTCAGATTTTTACTTGTTCTAGTGACTTTAGAAGCACGATATTTTAGGGATGCCTGGGTGGCTCAGTGTTTGAGCATCTGCCTTTGGCTCAGGGCGTGATCCCAGGGTTCGGGGATTAAGTCCCATGTTGGGCTCTCCCTCAGGGAGCCTGCTCCTCCCTCTGCCTGTGTCTCCCTCTCTCTCAGTGTCTCTTACGAATGAATAAATAAATCTTTTAAAAAAAACACACACACAGCGTTTTAAGCACAATATAAAAGAAAAATGACACAAACTTCAATAAAAGGTGGAGACGTCTGCTTCTGCCATGATAGTAACTGTCCTCGTGCCATCAACAACTATAAAACTATACAAATCATAGCAAAGAACCAGTTGGAGATGTTGGACAATATGCAGCACAGGACTGAGAAACAAATCAGGTGAACCCTATGACCACTCTTTCTGCCTGGTGGTATTTTCCAGATGATGGTATAAGGAGAAGGAGCCCAAGCAGAGAACTAAATTCTGGCTGATTTGAAGAGTCAGAGATCAGAGCTCCGGGAGACAGAAGTAACTGGAATTTTTGTCTTGAGACAGGGGAGCTACTCAAAAAGGGCATAGAAATATACATTGAGGGATCCCTGGGTGGCGCAGTGGTTTGGCGCCTGCCTTTGGCCCAGGGCGCGATCCTGGAGACCCGGGATCGAATCCCACGTCGGGCTCCTGGTGCATGGAGCCTGCTTCTCCCTCTGCCTGTGTCTCTGCCTCTCTCTCTCTCTCTCTCTCTCTCTCTCTCTCTCTCTCTCTGTGACTATCATAAATAAATAAAGAAAAAAAAAAGAAATATACATTGAGGGTGCCTGGGTGACTCAGTCAGTTAAACATATGCCTTTGGCTCAGATCATGATCCCTGGGTCCTGGGTTTGAGTCCTATGTCCAGGCTCACTGCTGAGCAGGGAGTCTACTTGTTACTCTGCCTCTGCCCTTCCCTCTCTGCTTATGCTTTCTCTCAAATCAAAAAAATCTTAAAAAAAAAAAAAAAAGAAAAGAAAAAAAGGAAATCTGCATCAATTTAGCTGAATAGTAAACTGTAAATGCACATATTGAGACCCCACAAAGTCCGTCAAAGAACATCTAATAAGGAAAGAACAATTACTGGAAAACTGTAAACTGAAAAATTAGCTCTCTGGCAAGAGCTAAAATAAGGCTGGGAGAAGTTCTGACTACCCTCAATGGAGAATACCTTGGGACATTTAATAAGCAACTTCAGAAACATCACACCTTGATAGTAAAACTAGACTAGACCTGTCCCAATAAAGGTTAAAAGAAAAAAATTAGGGTCAAATTGATCCATAACTAATTCAGCTGTCTGCTAAGGTGAAATTCAACATTCTTTTTTTTACAGAAGGCAACAAAACCTAGACACTCAGCATACAGAATTTCTAGCATTCAGTGAAAATTACAAGGCATGCAAAAAGGCATTAAATGATACCAGAAGAAAAACTAGTCAGTAGAAACAGACCCAGATGGGACACCTGGGTGGTTCAGTGGTTAAGTGTCTGCCTTCAGCTCAGGGCGTGATGCTGGAGTCCTGGGATCGAGTCCCACATTAGGCTTCCTGCATGGAGCCTGCTTCTCCCTATGTCTCTGCCTCTCTCTCTGTGTCTCTCATGAATAAATAAATAACATCTTAAAAAAAGAAAGAAATAGACCCAGAAATTATGATAGCGATTATAAAATTGACCAATAAATTTTATTTTTATTATTATTTTTTTAAAGATTTTATTTATTCATGAGAGAGAGAGGCAGAGGCAGAGACACAGGCAGAGGGAGAAGTAGGCTCCATGCAGGGAGGCTGACATGGGACTCGATCCTGGGTCTCCAGGATCAGGCCCTGGGCTGAAGGCAGCACTAAACTGCTGAGCCACCTGGGCTGCCCGACCAATAAATTTTAAACATAGCAAGTACAAATATGCTCTAGAATTTAAGAAAACCTAAAGATAATATAGACATTGAAGGATGAAAAAGGAGATACTATTATAATCACTAATCATAGGAAACTTGGGGTAGTTATTATAAATAGGAGATGATATAAACTTCAGGAAAAAATGTACATGAAAGATATTAAATAGTAAATGATAAGTAGACAAACCAGTAAAGTTCTGTACTTGAGCAGTATTGTCAATGAACTTGTCCTAATTGATACTTAACAAAATGCTATACCAGAGAGTACCAGAATAAACATTCTTTTCAAGTGCCCCTAGAGTATTCAGTGAGACACACTAAAATATGCTTTCAACGAACTTAGATTGAAATAATAGTGAGTGAATTAAAGTAGAAATCAATAACATATATGGAAAATTTGAAGGTTAAATATCACCCTTCAGAATAATATGGGTCAAAGAATAGGTTACTAAGAACACTATAAAATATGTATTGCTGTGTAAAAATGAAAATACAACATTTGAAACTTGTGGACTGTACCAAAGGCAATACTTTAGAGAAAAATACAGTTTCAGATGTGTATGTTAGAAAAGAAAGGTTTAAAATCAGGGACTGGTGTGTGACTGGCTCAGTTGGTAGACTTTATACTAACAAATTAGACAATCGAGATGAAAGAGACAAGTCCCTGGGAAGGCACAAATTACCAAATTTGACGTATTAAAAAAAAAAAAGGCAATCTAAACAGATCCATAACAAGTTCAGTGCATAATTCAAAAGCATCCCATAAAGAAAAGCCCAGGCCAAGATGGGTTCACTGGTGAATTCCATCAAATATTTAAAAGACGAAATAATACCAATCTTCAAACTGATTCATAAAATGAAATAAGTACTTTATAACTCATTCTATGAGGCCAATGTTTTTCTCATACCAAAGACATTACAATAAAGGGGGATCTACTGATTGTTATCCCTCAGAAACAGAACTGCAAAAATACTTGACAAAGTGTTAGAAAACTGAATCCAGTAATATATGAAAGGATTTTGAATCATAACCAAGTAAGATTTATCCCAGAAATACAAGTGTGCCTTAATATCTAAAAATCAATTAATATAATATCTCAGTAATTAGTAGAATGAAGTAGAGGTCAGCAGACCTTCTGTACAGGGCCAGATAAGTAAATATTTTTAGGACTTTGTAGGCCAAACAGTTAATCTGTCACAGCTACTCAACCCTGTCAGTGTTTTACAAAGGCAGCCATAGATTATACACAAACAAATAGGCATAAGTGTACTCCCATAAAACTTTATTTCTGGACAGTGAGATTTGAATTTCATATGATTTTCACATGTTGCAAACTATATCTTTTTATTTATTCATTCATAGAGACACACAGAGAGAGAGAGGCAGAGACACAGGCAGAGGGAGAAGCAGGCATCATGCAGAGAGCCCGACGTGGGACTCCATCCAGGGTCCCCAGGATCACGCCCTGGGCTGCAGGCGGTGCTAAACCGCTGCGCCACCGGGCCTGCCCCAAACTATATCTTTTAAAAAAAAAAAATGTTTTTTCAACCATTTAAAACACCAAAACCATTCTTAACTTGTGAGCCATATAAAAATAGGCAGCTGGTGAGATTTACTGCTGCCTGGAATAAAGGACAAAACCACATGATCATCTCAGTGCAATTGGTGGCCTCTAAATGGCCCCCAAGTAACCCCTACCTCCTACTACTCACAACCTTGTGTAATCTTTTCCCTTGAACGTGGGCTGGACCTAGTGACTCATTTCTAACAATAGAAGACTGCAAAAGAGATTGGATGTCACTTTGGAGATTAGGTTACCAGAAGACTGTGATTCTATCTTGCTGTGCTTTCTCAGGACTCTGGCTCTCGGGGGAGCAAGCTGCCCTGTTTTGAGTAGCCCTGTGGAGAGGGCCACATGGCAAGGAACTCAGGTCTGGCCAACAGCCAGCAAGGACCTGAAACCTACCAAAAAACAGGGATCCCTGGGTGGCGCAGCGGTTTAGCGCCTGCCTTTGACCCAGGGCGCGATCCTGGAGACCCAGGATCGAATCCCACGTCGGGCTCCCGGTGCATGGAGCCTGCTTCTCCCTCTGCCTGTGTCTCTGCCTCTCTCTCTCTCTCTCTCTCTGTGACTATCATAAATAAATAAAAATTAAAAAAAAAAAAACCAAATGAGTGGGCTTAGAATTGGATCTTCTAAGGTCTGCCAGTAGCCACCTAAATAAGATTGGAAAGGAATTGACACCTAGTTAACCTTTAGATGAATGCAACTATGACCAATAGCTTAATTACAGCCTTGTGAGAGAGCCTGAGTCAGAGGCACTCTACTAAAGCTGCCTGTGCCTGTATTCCTGACCCTCAAAAACTATGATAGTAAATGTTTTCTTGTTTTAAGCTGCTCAGTTTTGGGGTAATTTGTTTTAAGTAACAGTAGATCATTACTACATCAGCAGATACAGAAAAAATACATGACAAAATCCAACACTCATTCATAATTTAAAAATTCTCAACAAACTAGAAATAGAAGGGAGTTTACTCAATCTGATCAAAAGCATTTATGAAGAAACTTACTACCAACATCATACTTCTCAATGAAAGACTAAGTCCTTTACCCTAACATCAGAAGCAAGGTGAGGATGTTATATGTCACCATTTCTATCACATTCTGTTGGAGATTGTAGCCAATGCAAAAGGGGGAGGGGAGGGCCTGGGAGGCTCAGTTGGTTAAGTGGCTAACTCTTGATTTCAGCTTAGGTCAGGATCTCAAGTTTCTGGGATCAAGCCCCATGTTGGACTCTGCGCTTAGCTGGGAGTCTGCTTAAAGATTCTCTCTCTCTGCCTCCTTTTGCCCTTCCCCTTTGTTCTTGCTTGCTCACTCTCAAAAATCTTTTTTTTTTTTAAAAAAGTCATAAAGACAGGTAGTAATATTACATAACTTAGCTTGTTTGAGCCTTGATGCTGGTCCATCCTCAGTATACCTTGCAAAAATCCAGCCATTTCGTTACTGCCATGCAAAAAGTTATCTTGAGCAGAGATTTAAGTGAAAAAGCAGAGATGGGCACCTGGGTGGCACAGGGGTTGAGTGTCTGCCTGTGGCTCAGGGCGTGATCCCGGGGTCTCGGGATAGACTCCAGCATCAGGCTCCCTGATGTGTGTGTCTCTCATGAATAAATAAATAATCTAAAAAAAAGAGTAGAGGGGCGCCTTGGTGACTCGGTGGCGGTTGAGTGTCTGCCTTCCGCTCAGGGTGTCTTCCCGAGTCCCCTGTCAAGTTCCACATCGGGCTCCCTGTGGGGAACCTGCTTCTCCTTCTGCCTATGTCTCGTCTCTCTCTCTCTCTCTCTCTGTCTCTCATGAATGGATGAATAAAATCTTTAAAAATAATAATAAAGAATAGAGATAGAGCTTTCATCTTCATGTTGCACCACGTGCTAGCAAGTACTAGCTAGCTTTCTGGTATTTTTGTATTTGCAAAATGCACATAGGTCTCCTGTGAGGACATAGGTAGTTTGCTGTTAAACATTTCCAAATGAGAATCAAGCACCATCATCCCCTCATGCAGATTCTCCTATGCAGTACAGCCTTTCTTCTTTGTGAATGGCATCTGCCTGTTTCTCAGCAAGAAAGGTCTCAGAATTTATAACTGCTTTTATTTGGGGTATGGAAATTTTACAGTTCTTATGTACACACATATGTTTAATAAGAATGGTGTATGATTTACTGAAGATGTGTTCCTGTTTGCTTATTCATTATTTTTTCCTTTTTCCATTTTTCAGTACATGTACTAGCCTTAGCAAGTTCTGTTCCAAACTCAGGCACCTTGACTTGGCTTCCTGTACATCAATAACAAACATGTCTCTTAAAGCTCTGAGGTAAATTTCTTATAACAAGAATGTCCAGTAATCAGAATACTGATTTTTTTTTTCATTTCAAATAACTGAAATAAAGTTGGAATTGAAGAAAACTGTTTTATGGGTATGTACTATAGTTCAGAATAGATCTTCTGTTTTATCATTTGCCCAAATTACAGGACACATTCAGGGTAAAATGACTAGAGGTAACTAGGATTCTGAACAGACTGGTACAGTGTATCCATAAATGATTAGATTTCTATGAAGGTTTGATTCTCCCCCACTCCCCAAAACGCCACATATCATTATAGCTAGTGATGAAAGCAGCACTCTGTGGAGTCAGGTGATTGACAAATGTAACCCTTGTGAACTTTTCCTTATCATCTCATTGTGCTGTTGTTAGGATTAAACAGTATTATCATTGTTTGATAATATTAGGCCAAACCATACAAAGTTGCCAGTGTTTAATAACAACTTTTGTCTTATAAAAATGACAGCTTTTTAAAGTACATTACGGAAGGTGTGCCTTAAGGAAGGTGAAATGTCCATTCTCTTTGTACCTTTACTTTTTTATCAGTCTTTTATAAGTTACTATAGTCCCATGTATTGGTTATGTTTCATGAGTAATAAAAATTAAGCTATTAAAAGAAGAAATGTAGGTTTAGTTAAGTGTAAGTAACCTAGAAATGTGGCTTTTTCTAGACCTTCCTATGAATATTGAGTACATGTGTATCAAAGGCCATTTGCCATGTAGGATAATAAGTAGGATAATACAACATTTATAGCTTATAAAATATTTTCACATAAATAATTTCATGTATTTAAAAACTATGTGAGGCATATAGGACAGACATGTAATAGATAAGAAAATCTAAAACAACAACAAAAAAAAGAAAATCTAAAACATTTTTGAATGCCAGGTAATGTGATTAACCTCGGGATGTCACTAAATAAGGTATTGTTACTGCCTAGGAGCTGCTCAGAGTCTAGTAGGAGAAAAAATAATAAACATGTTGTTATATCATAGTGATAAGTGCTATTATAGAAGTGAGTGCATCCATTTGGGGAGAATATAGGCTATGGCTGATCTTAGATTAAGAGAAGTTCAGGCAGGATCCTAAAGGGACTTGCCTGAAGTCACACTGTTAATGTTGAAGAATGGACTTGAACAAGATCCCCCACCATCATTCTATAAAACAATTAAAGCAATATTTTCCACCTTGCGCTTGGGATTCTTGCATAGCTCAAATGTGAAATCAAAGATGAAACTGGTATTTGATAGAAGGCAGAGATCAAACACAATATATCCTAAATTTAGTCTATGGAGACAGTACCCTAGAGACTTCAGAGATAAGGAAAATTTATGGATCCTGTATAATTTTTTAAATAATTTAAACGTCTTCATTATTACTTTGACAAGTAATAGAATTATTTGATAAGGAATATGAATCTAAACTTCACTAATTACTCTGTTAACTTGACAGGTCACTTAATTCCTATTTCTTTCCCAGAGATGTTTTAAACGTGTGATATGTGCAAAAAGAATACATTTGCAAAGGATAAATCTCCATAACAGTCTAATACATCTGAAAAACAATATTGTGCTTTATGCTTGTTTAGCTGATTTGAGATGACATTCCTTTCAATTCTAATCACCACTTCCTTTTAATTCTGATTGCCATAGTGATAAAGTCCCACATGAACTCCACCAGCCTTGATAAATATGCTTTTTTGTTGTTGTTGAATTGCCTATATTATAAATCTATGTTAAGTAAATGTAATTATTCTTGTGGGAAAGCATGGAGCTGTAGCCTTTCCCTGACCTAAATAGCCAATAAAATGAGACTTTGGTGCCTTTGGAACTGAATTTAGTCATAAGATTGTTTCATTTTGTTTTGTCCTCAGTGAGGGATGTCCACTGTTGGAGCAATTAAACATTTCCTGGTGTGACCAAGTAACCAAGGATGGCATCCAAGCACTAGTGAGAGGCTGTGGGGGTCTGAAGGCTTTATTCTTAAAAGGCTGCACACAGGTAATACTCCATGTCATGCCTGTAAATTTTAGAAGAACCAGGAACTTTGTAGGCAGCCCAAAGATGTTGGCTGAAGAAATATGTAGTTCTATATTATTAATCAAAAATACATGGTTACCGGGCAGCCTGGGTGGCTCAGCAGTTTAAGCGCCTGCCTTCGGCCCAGGGCGTGATCCCAGAGTCCCAGGATCCAGTCCCACATCAGACTCCCTGCATGGAGCCTGCTCCTCCCTCTGCCTGTGTCTCTGTCTCTCTCTCTCTATCATGAATAAATAAATAAAATTAAAAAAAAACCATGGTTACCAAAAATTAAAGTGTCTTCCATAGAGTAAAAAATATGTATGAAAAGAATTAACATCTGATGGAAGATAATTTCTAAGGGTAGGCGAGGTGGGGAGATAAAATCTCACTGAGCATGCTCCATGGGCAGGAAGCATATTACACAATTTAATCTGAAAAGAAAACTTGCCATGTTGTCACTGCCTGAGACTGTGAACTGGAGAGACAAGGAAGGCAGTCTTAGTTAGCAGTTTTCGCTAGTGGTTTAACTACCAGGTTAAATGTGCCAGGTGTACAGATCCTACAATTCATAGTGTTGATGTTTACTTCCTGCCAGTCACATTACAAATTCCAACATATTTTGTCATTAAAAAGTTTACTGTTTTCCTATTTTACTGTGATAAAAATAAAGAGAGAGAGAGAGAGGAGTTGACATTGCAGCATTTGAAGGAAAAATCAAAAATGAGTTTAGAAGTGACACAAAGTAGGGCTAGGCTCTTGTAACATTATTTTATTAATGATTACTGAAACCATTCCTTGGATTTTGTTAAAAGGGCCTTTATTCCTTCACCATGGTGGGAGGAGTTCCATTGTTTGAGACAGAGCTTTGGAAGTAAAATTGCCTTAAAACAACAGCTTGAGCTTCTGGTTATTTATGGAATCCTGAAAAATATTGATTGGGATGCACCATTATAATCAATTACTTGCCATCTGTTCTCAGCACTGTATGCATGGCACTGATCTTCCAGCAGGAGATAAACCGGATTCCTTTCTCAGCTCATGCTCCCAAAAGTTTCTTTTTAAAAAACTTTATATAGGAAGTATAGAAGTGTGAAAATTATTTTAGCTTCATAATCCCTGAGCAAAATGCTATGAGGCATATTTATCAGAAGAAAAATCCATAAACATTAGGCAGTGTTTATCTTTTTCTTGATTTAGTGATTGTATGAATTTGATGTGGTTGGAACTGATGAAAAATACTAATAGCCATACTAATGATATGAATTACACCTTTATGTGATCACAGCTTCTGGTTCATTGTTCCTTTGAAACTTGGTTGGCTGTATTTAGAATGTATATATATAGTCCTAAATCTTTATCCCTTGAAATGATGTTTGTAATAATTTTTCTCTTTTTAATTTTTGTAGCTAGAAGATGAAGCTCTCAAGTACATAGGTGCACACTGTCCTGAACTGGTGACTTTGAACTTGCAGACTTGCTTAGTAAGCAGCACTTCCCACAATTCTTTTATATTCAGTAATTCATTTCAGTAATATTTTGTAAGAGCTTCAGTCATCGAGATCAGTGGTTTTTCCCCCTCAGCCCTGGGGACACAGTAAACACACAGATGATTCTTTGCATGCTTAATGATACTCACTCCTGAGGGTTTTGACATAGGTAATAAAGATACCTCATGCAGAATTCCAAATAAGCAAACTATAACTCCACTCCTTTTCTTTTCTACTTTTAGAAGTGAATTATTCACAGACTTTAGTACTTAGAATATTTTTGGTAAATTAATTGCAGTCATGCCAATAAGATCTCAGTCATAACTATTGGGAACCACTGATCTAAACAGATGACAAGCAAAATGTACTCTCTAAATTAATTTCCAAGTAGTATTTGTAGTTCACATTTGGCTTGTTTAGACTGTCAACTTTTGGTGGTCTATCCCCAAAGCCCTGCATTTTGTACATAGAATTTGCTGAAACTATTCAGGGTCCTAGAACATTGACAACAAATACACTTTTAGCTTTTCTCTCTTGTCTTAAAAATTACAAATATCTGTTGCCTTGGAATGAGAGCCTCTCATAGCAATAAAAAAAATTGATGAGGGTTTTCCTTGTTTTTGCTAAACTTCTGTTCATTATACCCTCCCCTTCTTGTATGATCACCTGAAACTTAAGAGCATAGCGGTTGTTTAAAGGTGACACATAAAAGGCCACGTTTTGTGCAATTGAAGCAACCTCCCCATCCAGCCCTTATTAAGGGATGGTACTGATAAATGATCTGCTTGGGAGGCCTCCTGAAGACTGAGTTTAAAGGAATGACATTCCTTTTAATTCTCATCACTGCTTACTTCTAATTCTGATTGCCATCATTGCTCTCAGAATTTGCCTAATTTCATTTATGAAACTGAAATATTTGGCCTGACAGGAAGAGCTTACACAACTGTTATACACATGAAACCATCATCTTACAGTGATAGGAAAAAAATTGTTCTCAGGCATCTTTGGATTTTACACACACACATAGATAGACTGTATATATTTGTGTGGATATATGTTAAATACACATTTGCACAACTATATAAATACATACATACCATACCTAACCTTTTCTGTTTTAGTTTCGTTTCCTTGATCCTTCCAGCAGACAGAAATCACAGCCAGTAATCATAAAGAACCAGTTCTATCATCTATTTTACTCTTTCCCTTCACCCAGATCTTAGGACATAAGTCATTCCTTCTGTAGAATGTGATGCAATGATTCTTATTCCTAAGACTTCACGTTTCTGCCCAAAACTGTTGACATGACCGAAGTACATTCTTGGTCATTCTCTTTTTCTTGTCTAATTTGAAAACATAAAAGTTTGGTAAGTTTTATTTTAGAATCTGAAGAATTGTTACATAGGACTTTCTTCTTCAGTAATCCCTTATAGACTTGAAAACATTAAGAGGCAAAGAGCAACACAGCCCTACAATATTTTCCCAATATTATGTGACACAAATTCTCGTTGACCTGATACATATGCATGTTTATTGATTGCTGCCTCCCCTTTTACATTTCAATTATCCTCATTTAGTAATAACTGTACATCATACTTGCATGGCACTTTTTTAGTTACTTCCACATGTGTTGATCCTTGTTAATTTATCCTCATGGATAAATCTTGTATCTGCCTTAGCATCCTTTTTTTAAATCTGTATCTTGCTTCAGTTATACAATATTGAGAATATACTGATTTAAACAGTGAATATTTAAAGCTTGATTTTTTTTTTCCCAGTTGTCCTGGCAACCTAAGGACACTTATTAAGCAGAGATGACAAGTGAGCTTTATTCTGAGGCTTACACAAAATTTGTGAATCTAGCAGGACAAATTGAAGTACTAATCATATCCAACATGTTAAGGTGTTTATAAGTGGCATCTTTTTTTTTAGCATAACATATTGGTGTGACCTTCTTTTTTTAGAATAATATAAAACATATAAAATTATATTTGAGTTGGATACAGATGTTTATCTCCATAAATTAGGGTGTTCTTTATATTATACAACTAAGATAGATAAATGGAAAAAATGAAATGATCTGTGGTTGATACAAAGTTGCAACTGTCATCCACAGTTTTATTTTTTCAGTAAGTTAATATCAGTGTCAATTTTGGACTTACAAATATGTTTGTACTGCTGTTTTTATCTATTTTCTAGGTTTTAAAGTAATTTAATTGAATCTACCCTATGATGTACCTCATGCTGTTCCCAGTCTCATTAGGTTAAAAGAACCTCATTAGCGCTTCTTCCGTTTACACCAAAAATGAGCACAGGGGTGCGTGGCGGTCTCAGTCTCGTGTGACTCCTGATCTCAGGGTCGTGAGTTCAAGACCCATGTTGGGCATGGAGTCTACTTAAAAAAAGAAGGGGAAAAAAATGAGCAGATTCTCTCACAAAGTAAATCAAAAGGAACTGAAAATGAGGAACAAAGTGTGTTCATTTTCTTTTAGGTCTGCTGCTTGATTAATATTAGATCTGTTTTTTTCTTTTTCGTGCTTATTTTCAGAGATAACATTTTTTTTCCTTATTTTTCTTCTGCTGAGTTACTAATATCTATGGGGGGTTTTTTGCTCTTATTTTTTAGCAAATCACAGATGAAGGTCTCATTACTATATGCAGAGGGTGCCATAAGTTACAGTCCCTCTGTGCCTCCGGCTGCTCCAACATCACAGATGCCATCCTGAATGCTCTAGGTCAGAACTGTCCACGGCTTAGGTAAACATTTCTTGTTTAGCTCAAAAAATCTGGGGAAAGGAACAAAGGCATTCTTCACCCAAATTTATCTCTTGGAACTTTGATATTTTTAAGGTAGACACTACAAGGCTGCTGCCCTTTTAGATGCTCACCTGCTTGCTTTGTACCTCATTTAATTACATGTAATTGGCTTAAACCAAGGGGTGATAGCCCCCATTTCCTATTTCTTGCTATCCATAGTAGAATAAAATTAACATTTTATTTCACTACTTGAGAAATGAAATGAAGGCATTTTATTTTCTCTTAATACTTTCATATAATTCCTTTCTGGAGAAAGTTCTTTTTTTTTTTTTTCTGGAGAAAGTTCTTAAGGGCCTACCTACCCTGTGGTTATTTGTTGTGGTAATGATGCCAGATACATAGTTAAGTATTTAAAAAGAAAAAACAGCCCTGCAAGAAAACTTCCTTTGTGCTTATAGTCTTTTAGAGCAAGCCTTATTTCTCTATGTTTCCTCCTCTTTGTCTAAATATAGGATTGGCTGAATATTTACCAAGAATGCCATATTACCATGCATATGGTTTCAAACCCATATTGGTTTTATAAAAGCACATAACATGCTGTTTTGTAATAAATAGGCATGATCCCCATATACCTTTTTTGTTTTTATAACAGAACCTTTATTGTACTTAACATGTTAGATATGTTAACCATTGTTTTAAGTCATTTGCAAATATTAATTCATTCAGTCCTCAAAATAGCATGTAAGCACTGTTACTATCTCCATTACAGATGAGAAAACTAAAGCACAGAGCAGTCAGGTAACCTGTTCAAGGTCTCACAGCTAGTGAGTTCAGGAGCAAGGATTCAAACCCAGGCAGTCTGGCTCCAGAACCCAGGAAACCACATATAATAATCATTGTAAACCCATATAACTTTATTAAAGTTTTTGATTATCACCTGGCTAGGGGCCTAACCATAATTATTAAAAGAAAATTTAATTTGCCTAGATTATCAAAACACCTTGATTGATCATAGACTTGGTCAAAATTAATAATATCAGAGGCTTGGAGCTGAGGAGGTAGCCAGACTCCTCACTAAGAATATTACACATTACCTTTTTCTCTTTTAAAGAGAGGAGTGTTCAGCTCCTTACTCCTTCATGGTTTATTTTATTGTTTGAACACAACGATTCTCAAACATCAAAAGTTAGGTTTCAGTCAGATCACGCTTTCCCATTAAATATCCGTTTCTAATTGATTGTTAATGATTTCTTTTACTGTAACTTTGTTTCAGCTCACGTAGTAAGCAATTTGTAAGCAAACATAAAAATGTTCTTTGGTACTATCATGCAGACGCCACCAAACTTTTCACAGAAAAGAGCTACTTTTGATCCTCTTCCTGTGGTTGGGCTTTCGGTTGGTGTTCAGCAGTCCCTGAGGAGGAAAGAGGCTGCCAGCTCAGCCCTGCTCTGCCCTGGGCCTCCCTGAGAGCCTGTGGGCGGAGGCAGGAAGCTTAAGGGCATTTTTTCATAAGTATGGAATTTCATACTTGGGACAGGACTGTAATTAACAGTCCCGTCATACATTTTTAAAAGCTATTTAAATCTGAGTGAACCTACATGTAAAATAGGGAAAGAGAATAATTTACTTGAGCAACAGATTAATTGAAACAGAGTATTTATCTCCATTTCCTTTGGTTTCTAGGAGCAGGCTGCCCTCTGGGGGTTAGCAGTATGCCATCAAGAAGGCTTTTAAGTGCGTTTTTCATGCATTTTGGCATTAAATACAAGCTTCTATTATATTATTCTGATTGCATCACCCTGAAATGTGTTATTTACAGGACCACTTTATGATGACTCCATGAAAATGAATGGCAAGATCTGTATACACTTGGCTGTTAATGTCACTATATCATGCAGTGCTTAGGGAACAGGAGGTTGTTTTCTTAATTTCTTGCTGTTTTAATAAACCCAGTTTTCAGGGAACACAGGATTGACTTTCACTTTTGTGTTGTATTTTTTTAACAGAATATTAGAAGTGGCAAGGTGTTCTCAATTAACAGATGTAGGCTTTACCACTCTGGCCAGGGTAAGTATTTTCTCCTGGTCCTGTAGGTTTGGTGTGGGATTTTTTTTTTCCCCCAGAACAGTGAGCAATGAGGGAAAATTGGAATGACAGTAGAATTGAGGGTGTGGGATATGAGGGAACTTCTCTCGCAGGTGTGCCTGAGCATTCTTGTGCTGCAGCTATAAGCCTGTATAACACAAACTACTCTGGAAACATAGCCATGCTTTGGAGAACATGATGCTCCTTCATGAGACTTGATTTGCCACATTTTCATTAAATGGTAAATTACACAGGGCCTTCCTAATGCTTCATGAAAAAAAATATTTCTTGGTTATTTGGTATGCGACTGGTGGGTGAGAGTAACGTTGAAAGAAACATAGAAGCCTGAGTTTAAATGGAGATTGTTTGAGGCATCTGGGTGGCTCAGTTGGTTGTGTCTGCCTTCCACTCAGGTCATGGGATCGAGCCCTGCATCGGGCTCCCTGCTCAGGGAGAAACCTGCTTTTCCCTCTCCCACTGCCCCTGCTTATGTTCTCTCTCTCTCTCTATCAAATAAATGAAAACTTTAGAAAGTGAATAAAAAATAAAATTATGCTGTCTTTAAGCAGTATAATGGAATATAAGAAGGAACATTTGCTTTCATGCAGATTGGTGGAATACTAATGGGTGAGGGGCAGCATGTGGCATAACTAAATGAGGACACAAAGCTTACCTTCCATTCTTCCAAAGGAATAGTTTTCATTAAATTATTTACGGTTGGAAGGATCTGTATTAGCTTGGTATTAATATTCAGAAAATTTATTCCCTTGGACTTGTAAGAGATTAGATAGATATTTCAAATGTAGAATAACTGAGAAATTTCCACTGTGATCAAGGCCTTTTAAAATGTGTTAATGGGGGACGCCTGGGTAGCTTAGCAGTTGAGCATCTGCCTTCGGGTCAGGGTCAGGGTGTGATCCTGGGTCCGGAGATCAAGTCCTACATCGGACTCCTTATAAGGACCCTGCTTCTCCCTCGGCCTATGTCTCTGCCCCTCTCTATTTGTCTCTCATGAATAAAATAAATCAGATCTTTTAAAAATAATGTAATAATAAATAAATAAATAAAATGTGTTAATGGACTAAGGCAGAAAGTGACATTAGAGTGACACCAACTCTGAAACGTAAGATTTTTGCATTCATTCATGGGAGACATGAATGGGAGACCCCAGGATCACGCCCCGAGCCAAAGGCAGACAATCAACTGCTGAGCCACCCAGGCATCCCTTTTCCCGTGTTTTAAGTGTTGGTGCTATAATGTTTCGTTTTATATTCTGTAGAATTGCCATGAGCTTGAAAAGATGGACCTGGAAGAGTGTGTTCAGGTAAGAGTGTGGATTTTTACTCAGAAATACTATTTGATAGGGCACCTGGGTGGCTCAGTTGGTTAAGCATTGGACTCTTGGATTTGGCTTAGAGTCATGATATCAAGTCCTGCTTGGTCTCCTTGCTCAGCAGGGAATCTGCTTGAGATTCTCTCTCTCCCCCTTTGCCCCCACCCCCACCCCACTTGCACTCTCTCTTTCTCTCTCTTTCAAATAAATAAATCTTAAAAAAAAAGGAGAGAGAGAGAGAGATACAATATGGTAGAAACTTACAGAAAAGAAAAAACTTACATAATACAGGTACATGAGAACGTTCAGTTCCCTACCCTAATGTAGTATCTGGCAGCACTGCTGGCTCCATTTATTGAGGTGTCCTCCAGGCTTCCTAGGCAGAAGTACTCATGGTATATGTGGTAAGGAAGTAGGGAAATACATGCCATCGGTAAGGTTACCAGTGGAAAGAAAGCAAGCCCAAGCATTGAGACCATAAAGATATTAAAATGTTTCCTTAGACCTATAGGGTTATAATACTAAGAAATAATTAAAGCCCCATCACATTGATAATATGGCACTGCCCTTTTTTTAAAAAATGATAAAAATAAAGATATTCCTAGTACCTATAGAAGTTAATTTTTTCTAAATTACTTATTATCCAGACACCACTTAGCAACTGTTCTTACTAAATTAAAACTTACTGGGACGCCTGAATGGCTCAGCAGTTGAGTGTCTGCCTTTGGCTCGGGGCATGATCCTGGGGTTCTGGGATGGAGTCCCACATCAGGCTCCCTGCATGGAGCCTGCTTCTCCCTTTGCCTATGTCTTTGCCTATCTCTTTCAGTGTCTCTCATGAATAAATAAATAAAATCTTTTTAAAATAAAAATAATAATAAATTAAAACTTACTGACATCCATCTATCTCTTGCACATGCCTGAGTGTCCTCTGTGTCCTCTCTGGTGTTACTCCTGAGTGATATGCATGTGCCTTGCATCTTCCACCATTTCTTAGCCCCTGTGAAGCTATGTACAGTATAATCATCATCATCATTTCAGAGTAAGAGAAGCATTTGTAAAGAAGCACTGATTTACTTTCCAGCCTAAGATAACTATAAAAGACTGTTCTTCTTTCAAGAGTTCCTCCTTCTAAAAAAAAAAAAAGAGTTCCTCCTTCTATGAACTATGTTCATAGTTGACTCAGATTCCAGCAGCCCCTTTTCTGCCACCTTCAGGAAAATACCTGACTCCCAGGTTATCAAATCAGAGTTGTGACATGGCTTATAAAATATAGGATAAATATATATTCTTAAAAATTTGAGGATATTCCCACATTAATTTTTTTTATGGAGCAGTGTCTTCTTATTCTTTTCTGTGTGGTGGTTCTAAGGCGGTAAAACAAAGTCCAGTGGGTAGAAGTTAAAAGGGGACAGATTTTCATTCATTTCAAAACAAAAGATTTTTCAACAGACTTGTTCAAAGATGAAGACTACAGATGACTAGATATGTTCAAACCTGCCTGGATAGGTTCTCAAAGAACAGGTTCAAGTAGCAAATAAAATTTCAATCTTAAGATTCTTTTATTTTACGATTAATATCAGGATACCAGTTTAGAATACAATGTATTCAAGAATGAGGTACAGCCGTGAAGCTTTTCTGGAATTATATCTATAATAAACTTATGTGTTTCTTTCAGATAACAGATAGCACATTAATCCAACTTTCTATACACTGTCCTCGACTTCAAGTATTGGTAAGTTTGACTTTTTAAAAGTTTTATGTGTTCATTGGATTTAGTCAAAACCTAGCTCTTATTTTCTTCTTGGTGTCTGGCTACCATTTTGGGTAAAACATATTTCTTTTTTTTTTTTTTTTTTTTAAATTTCTTTTTTATTTTTTTTATGATAGTCACACACAGAGAGAGAGAGAGAGAGAGAGAGAGAGAGGCAGAGACACAGGCAGAGGGAGAAGCAGGCTCCATGCGCCAGGAGCCTGACGTGGGATTCGATCCCGGGTCTCCAGGATCGCGCCCTGGGCCAAAGGCAGGCGCCAAACCGCTGCGCCACCCAGGGATCCCGGTAAAACATATTTCTACAAGTTGCCAACTTATAGAGGACCAAGGATTATGTACTTGGAGATTGAAAAGTGACATGGAGAATATGAGTTCTCTCTCCCACATGAATTACACTTAACCCTGAAGGATGTTAAACTTCAGAGATCCAGGGGGCACCTGCCTTCAGCTTGGGTCATGATCCCAGGGTCCTGGGATCGAGCCCGGAATTGGGCTCCCTGCTCAGTGGAGAGTCTGCTGCTTCCTCTCCCGCTCCCCCTGCTTATGCATTCCCTCTCTCCTGTCGAATAAGTAAATAAAAATTTAAATAAATTTCAAAGATCCAGGAGACAAGGTGGCCCAAAATACAGTTTACTTCAGCCTGACATTAAATGGTACTGTAAAACAGAATTAGTCATGGCTTTACTGGGGGTGTTCTCTGTTACTGTTTCCAGTAACACTGTGGGAAAACATTCTGCTTAACTATTTTGTGTCCAGGCTCATTTTTTGTGTGTATTTGATGACATATTACTACCCAGAATTGGGACAAGGGGTTCTGAGTTTCACGTGGAGGAACCAGGGTTTTAAGGAAAATTGATAAAGAGGTTTATGTGAAGAGATGACCACACTTAACAGGTGTAGGAATCATCTTCAGTTAGTTAACTATTTTGGAATTTCTCTGTATCAGGTATTCAGTGTTTAGTCCAAATTCCAGAAAATTGTGTTCAAGAAAAGCTTGAACCCCTCTTGTCCCTGTAGAAAAGTGTTAATTTGTATGTGGGGGTGGATATCGTATCTTGTTCAGGAACTGTTTTCAGTCATTGCATGAATTCACACAGTATGTTTAGAATCACACACAGAGGGGGCAGCCCCGGTGGCGCAGCGGTTTGGCGCCTCCTGCAGTCTGGGGTGTGATCCTGGAGACCCGGGATCGAGTCCCACATTGGGCTCCCTGCATAGAGCCTGCTTCTCCCTCTGCCTGTGTCTCTGCCTCTCTCTCTGTGTCTATGAATAAATAAATAAAATCTTAAAAAAAAAAAAAAGAATCACACACAGAGGGACATCTGGGTGGCTCAGTGGTTGAATGTCCAACTCGATTTCGACTCAGGCCATGATCTCAAAGTTGTAGGATCGAGCCCTGCATCAGGCTCCACACCAGGCATGGAGCCTACTTAAGATTCTGTTTCTCCCTCTCCCTCTGCCCCTTCTCCCCCACAAAAAAAGAATCACACGCAAAAATGTCAGTATTGATTGTCAAAAGCAGAAACCCAGCAACTCTAGTTTGCTTTCTTCATTTCACCATATAGATCTTGTGATGGCTTTGTATACATCACAGTCCAACCCAGAAGGTTTCCTTTCTGGCTGTACACAGGCCAGTGGCTAGAAGAAAGACACGAGATGTTTCATTGTCCTTCCTTGCTCTATTTGGCTGCAGAGTCTGTCTCACTGTGAGCTGATCACAGACGATGGAATTCGTCACCTGGGGAATGGGGCCTGCGCCCATGACCAGCTGGAGGTGATTGAACTGGACAACTGCCCACTAATCACAGATGCTTCCCTCGAGCACTTGAAGAGTTGTCACAGCCTTGAGCGGATAGAACTCTATGACTGCCAGCAAATCACACGGGCTGGGATCAAGAGACTCAGGGTAAAGATGGCTGCACACTCTCCATCTCTGTGCTCTTAGCACCTTTCCTTTATTTTTTCCTGTCCTCCATTTCCTTTTTGTGTTTGCCTTTGTTTTAGATTTAGATTTCTGTGATTTTTATATTTACTTGGACATTTAGCAAAGAGGAAAAAAAAAATGGAGAGCAAACCTAAGGGTAGGATAGATAGTTTTTACCTGTTGTTCCAGATGGAAATTTAGTGTGAAAATGTTCACTGAGGGGAAGAAAGTAGGTCTCCTCCCAGCAGAGTCTCTCCTGTAATGTCCAGGGCTTACTAACATACCCAGAGTCAAAAACACATGCCAGATTCAGGAAAGAAAGGAATAACAAAATATTGAGTTAAATGGGATTTAAGAATTTAATTTGAAAAAAAAAGAATTTAATTTGTATTTCCTTTCACATCAAACCCTTTTGCTGGGCTTCTTATTTTTTTTAAGACAACAAGTGTATTAAGTAGGTTTTTTTTTGTTTTTTTTTTTTTACCTTTTCTTTTAGCCCCCATCCTCCATACTAAAGAGACCCATGGATAGTCAAACAGAAGGCAGGTTGCCAGCAAGGAGGTTATAAAAGGATGGATGAATCTCTATGTTAGGTTATTCACTTCAACAGAACAGATTTATTGGAACATCTGCTTCATACCTGCTGTGGGAAAGGCACTGTGCTTAGTGAGGCCCTTACAACCAGTGTCTACAAACATTCATGTTGACCATATGGCATCTGACTCATAAAGGAACACCAAATCTCATCTTGAGTTCCAGTTGACCTTTGTTCTTCCTCTTCCTTCTGACCTAGAAGACTGAGAGCATAACTGCAGTGGGGAGGCCTTGCAGCCATATTCCCTTTACACTGAAAGAGGAGAACCACAGGCCAACCAAAGCCTCTTCCGTGGACTCCTTACAGTAGGGTTCCTAGACTTGCCTGGTTGTGCAGAATCTCTTCCATCTTAGAGTCCTCAAGACTTTTTATCTGTTCTTCAAATAATCACTTAGTACTTTTCCATTTTAATTTAGCCATTTATGTCTGGACTATTAAGTTCCGTAAGAATGGGATCTCCATGTTGACCATCTTTATACCCCCTAGATAACTAGCACAGTGCCTTGAGTATTGTAGGAATTCAGAAGCTATTTATGTAGTAAAAACTAGCAGTGTGTTGTTAAAAGAGGATAATGAGGTTTTTAAAGAAATATCAGAAGAAACATTGTCCACAATGACTTGGAAAAAATTATTTTAAGCTTGAATAATTTCTTTCAACTTTGGGAATCCAATTAGCAATCCCTTTGGGACAGGTTAAGAGATTAGTTTGAAGTTTTTCCCCAGTTTTATTATTAAAAAGCAGATACCAAAGTTTATGTGAGCTACTTAGTAATTTAGAATAACCTGAAATGCTACAAAGCAGAACCCAGGCCTCTCAACATCCTGACTGGTACTCAGCCTCTGCCTCGCTCTCATGTTCACTCAGCCCCTGTGGTTTGTTGGGGATTTTTTAGTTTGTTTGTTTTTTTTCCTGAAAAGCAACATTGCTCTTTCTGTTTAAGCCCTCTCTCTCAGTAATGTTTCTGTCTTGTTTCAGACCCATTTGCCCAATATTAAAGTCCACGCCTACTTCGCACCTGTCACTCCACCCCCATCAGTAGGGGGCAGCAGACAGCGATTCTGCAGATGCTGCATCATCCTATGACAATGGAGGTGGTCAACCTTGGTGAACTGAGTATTTAATGACACTTCTAGAGTTACAATGGAGTCTCCAGTGGAAGCAACCCCAGTGTTCTGGGCAAGGGTTATCAAGTGAGGGCAGCGTCCAGATCCCCAGAGCCACACATAACATGCATACCCACCCTCACCTCCACCCATTCAAGTTCTGTGACCAGGGGACTGAAGCCCATGCTGGCTTTATCACGTGGTTTGGTAAAACTTAACCATTCCCAGTGGACATGCCAAGAAGAAAATAGTAGGCAAGGTGGAGGGAAGGGGGCATTCCAGCAAACCCAGCGTTACTGCTCCTGCAGTTTCTTCATTTTGTGAAGGGGTTTCTATGGTGGTTTTGGAACAGCAGCTGCAGTCCTCCAGGGTCAAGGAAAGCATAGAAAAACAATATCTGTTGTATCCAGGGACCAGAAAGAAAATTTCTTTGCATCCTCTAAATGGTAGCCGTCCATCAGGAGATGACTACAGAGCTTCTGTGCTTCCTTGTCCCTAAGCCAACATGCCGAGCATGCTCACCAAGAAGGCTCATCCATTCCTCCTCCTATGTTCTCAGTATTTGGCCCAGAGGTTTCCCAAGTGGTTGCCCCGAAATCGCTGTGGTCCAAATGTGATGACTTACTCAAATTGTCACTGTCTGTAGCACACTTTGCACACCTGTCTTCCATTCTTTGTCGCTCCCTCCTGCATTCTGGCTCCATCTGTTCACCTGTTCATTGTCTGCTTACTCACACTCAGTTGTTACTCTTTTGCCGTTGTTGTGTTTACAGTATGCATTTGGGATGATTAGTTGGGGTTACCAAACATTTTTAAAAGAGACATTATCAATAAATATTTTTTTAATTCTAAATTTTATCATTAGGGGACCCTGCCTGAATCTTTGCCAGTCTGAAGGGAAACCATAATAAAAACAAGAAATGTTATAAGAAGAAATTGAGCTAAAACTATTTTGATGAAAACAAACGTTGCCTTTTGGTTTCTGTTCTACTTTGTGATATATAATAATACGCATGATAGGCCCAGTATTCTCCCTGCACATTTTTCCTTCCATCAGACGCCACTAACTTAATAAGGGAAGAGAAATGTGTTACTAGTAAACAGTGGAATGGTGAATCCCAAAACTGAGCTGAAAGCCCCCCAACCCAAGTTCAGACAGGTCGTATGTTCACTGGAATCTGAGTGTGAGCAGTAGCATCTCTGATTTGTGTCTGTGAGGTGGTTTTGCTATAGCAGGAATGCTACTAGAGTTGCTATGCAGTCTAGTTGGTCAGTTTCTCTTTTTTCCCCCTGTTCCAGCCTACCAGGGATAGAAGAATGACCCTAGAACAGCTGGTCAACCGTATGTCGGTGTTGATGGTCTATCTCGAATGTTGGCACCATGAAGGACCAGAACCATTTCAAAACCTGTCAACCTTCTCTCTCTTGTGCTCCAGACTTCCCATGAATGAAATGCAGGGATAACCAGGTGAACACTTTGGGGCTGGAGAAAGAAAACATTGAAAAGGAGAAGGGTGTTCAGTGTCTCTGCTGAGCATGTTCAGCAGAGCTGAAGGCAGGTATTCAGTGACCATGACTCAGAGTCAAAGAAGAGGCTTCCTTATCTTATGCCCAAAAAAGTCATAAAGGATGAGGGAAATAAAATGAGTTTCTGAAGAGCAAGAAGTAGATTTAAATCTAAACCCCAAAGTTAGAAACTTTGTGTGATATTTAATAGGACAACTTTCTTCTTTTGGATGAGGGGGGTATTTTAGGACCTTATTGTGCAGTCCCTCATGATCTTCTACATGATCCAGGCTGTTAAAAGGCTTGTTATAACACTGCAGATGCTGGCTCTACCAGCATATGTAGGAATAAAGTATGACTTCTGTCTCCACAAGCAATTTGATGAAAGAGTGCTAGAAATCTGTACTATCCAGGATTATTTCGCATGTTAAATTTATTTTAAATCCAAATCAATTTTATTATTCCCTTGTAAAAGCTCAAATTACTTTTATTTTTCCTTCCCCCTTCTCCTTACCCTCTTTCTAAATTATCACATGAGGAATATACTTAAAAGAATTTTCTGAGTATAGTTGACATAGGAATATACTTTTTTTAAAGATTTTATTTATTTGTTCATGAGAGACACAGAGAGAGAGAGGAGGCAGAGACATAGGCAGAGGGAGAAGCAGGCTCCATGCAGGGAGCCCAACGCGGGACTTGATCCTGGGTCTCCAGGATCAGGCCCCAGGCCGAAGGCACCGCCAAACTGCTGAGCCCCCCAGGCTGCCCTAGGAATATACTTTTTAAAAGTGAGATTCATTCTCCTGATTATACTCTACCTATACAAAGATACATGCATACACACACTTCCAGATGTGGTTAATAATATTCAGATCCCCAGGTCACTCATTCAAACAAAACTAAGAAGAGAAATATTTAGGGGCCATCTGTTCTAACATACTAAGTTTTTTTTTTAGTATTGCCTGAACAAATTAACCATAAAACTGATTGATTAGCGAGTATGGATTTAAATTGCCCACAGTTGAGGCTAGTAAGGCACTTCTTTACTTAAAAGGTACATAAATGTAAAAGACCCTATTCACGAGGACATGAACATCTTGGAAATGCCATTTCTCAACTCAAAGAGCATACCCACTCCTGTCTGGGTCAAGAACAGAGTCCAGTGAGAGAGAAAAGGAGCGTGTGGCACTGGCTTGTATGTGGTCAGGCCTTGTTCTTTTTGCAAGAAAATTTCAGGCCCATCAAGCATGGAAGGAAATACGATTTTATGCCAGTCTGCAATCTACGCCAGCTGATGAAATGTACCAGGACCTTAAGAACCCAGAACATGGTAAGTTTTGGTTAGGTGGAAAGGGCTCTGCCATCTGAACATAATGCTTCCTCTCTTACTATCAAGGACACTTTTGAAAATTCAGTAAGGCTTCAGAGGTTTAGGAAAAACTCCTTGGTCCATTCATCTGACTCCAGAGTCCCAGGACTCTGCCTTCTATGATGAATACAGGGTGAATGAAGAGATTTGAGAGAAGTCAAAAGATACCCTCAGAGCTATTGCATAGACCTGCAGGTAGCCAGGAGGGGTTATTGCTGTGTCTGTGGAGGACATTATTAAACATCCAGATTACCTCTTTCTAAGCAGCCTTTCCCTCTACATTTTACAGCATCATTTGCTATGTGAGTATCTTTTCTGACCTCTACGTTGGCTCCATCAAGGTGATTCCAGCTTTTTTTTTTTTTTTTTTTTTTGCACTACTCCCATTTTCTTCCTATATTCATCCTTGCTTTCTATTTAAAGCCTCCATCTCACTCCCAGTGGTGCTACTGATTTATTCTTTGGGTCCTTTCCTAATCTAAGCAAAGTCTGTGGGCAACCTTGAATATAGTAGCTATAGTATGGCTTGGGCCATTTTTCAGTGAGTGGTCTTAAATGTTTGCTTACCAAATTTGAAATCAAGCTGTTGGGTATGAAGAATAAGGGGATTTGGCTTCATCCTTTTTTCCCCAATATTTGGAATATGAAAGCACATTGTGCTCTATGTAAAAAAAAAAAAAAAAAAAAAATCCTCCTATTCTGCTCTTTAGTGGATGTAAGAGTATTTCTTAAATTTTTTTTTTTTTGTTTCCACATCAGGTTGACATAGCAGACCTATAAGTCAGAAACTTTATGTATTCTTTATAGCACATATTTATAGGGACATTTGGCATATATTTTCATGATGCTTTATTTTGGGCTTTATAGGCCTTTTGAACTGTTCAATACAGCTCTAATGCTACAGCAGTCGGGTTCCTTTATTTCTCCTTATTGCCTTTTAAAATGCTTTGTTACCTTTTTGATAGCCCATTCATGCCATGGGGGGTTAAACAAAATGTGCAGTGGAACTTATCCTGGTCTGAAGTTGTAGGGAAGTATGAGTGTGGCACCAGAAGGAAGAGAGTATTGCCTGCCTACTTGTGTGGGCAGTATATCTTTAGGTGACTGTGGTTTTGAAGAAGAGGAACACTTGTGGATCATGGTTGACCCTTGGCCATTTAATGTTTATTCGGCTGAAAGTCACAGGCTGCTTGTGACAGGTGCTACCAATGCGAGAGGAAGGGTTTAAAGGAAATGGGCCCATCCTGCCTTCCCCTCTTTGAGTGCATGGTTTAAGATTAACCATCTCCATTGTGCATCCTGGCATTGTGCACTGGACTCTTCAGTGGTATGCTTTGAGCTTCCAATACCTTTTTTTTTTTTTTTTAAGATTGCCTTCCTATCTGCCCACCAGTTCTAGGATCTTTAACTGCCTCATGCCCAGGCAGTGTGAATTAGCCGAGTCTTGTTTGATAAGAGGAGGAAGATGTTTGATTGGAAGTCTTGAAGCAAACCCTCCCTTCGAACAAAGAACCCTAAAGCAGCAGGAGGGTGAGGGGAAATATGGAGTCTAAACCCCTCGTCACCTATCTATCATAAATTTTAATTGTAATATTGGAAGATACAGGAAACTATATAAGACCATGCTGGTAGGATATAATGAACCCAGGTAATTTGGGAATAACATTTGGCTGTATTTGATATATCCAGGTGCCCTAACTTAACAGCTTGGTTCTCCAGCAAAGAACATGCTTCTCTAAACTTGCCGTCTCACTCGAGACAAACTCTGCCTGCCAGAAACTACCATTTGAGGCAAGTGAGTTTTCTGCATGAAGAGCTTCTGCAGCTCCTCTTCACGAGGCAAGTCTACCTGTTTGTCCATTTTTATTAGGAACATCAGATCTGCATCTCTGAAGGCTTTGACCCTTAAGAAGGTCAGTAAGAACCTCTCAGCTGAGTCTGAGTGAATCTTTGGAGCCCAACAGAGTTACACTTAATTTTCTGTAAGAGAAAAATGTGTTGGATAAGCTCACATGTGAGGTATTAAGAGAAATTCCATATTGTGCTGCTTCTGACTCTGCCTCATTGGTTGAGTAAGGCCTCGGTGGAGTTTGGTTCATAGTGTTGAGTATCTGCTTCCTCAGCCAAGGTGTCTCACTGCCCTTTTAGGGCATGAACAGCCAGAACTGTGTCAATCAAGTCTATTTTCTGTTTTTCAGCATCTTGTTTTGAAGAATTGGGGTGGGAAAATGGTAGATGAGATTCAAAGTAAAGGAAAGAATCAGTTCTAGAAGTGGGGCACTTTGCTTCAAGTACAGGTATCTGTCCCAAATATGTAGCAACACCTCCCTCACATATGTGAGTAGGTTCACTTTTCCTCTCCATCCAGTAAACTCCACACCTTCCTCACTGCAAGGAGGGCTTCTGCCTACCAGGCACCTACCCAGAGTCACCCAGATGGGGATTGGCACCCCTCACAGAACCACCAGTGCTTCTGGGCATGGCTTTCACCAGGGCAAGGGCTGGAAGGCAGTAAATGAGAATCCCTACCCCATGAAGAGATGGGACAAGAGAGGTGTCCAGACACATACCCTTTCTCTTCTGCCATACCCAAAGAACCCAGGGAAATCTTTGAAGCGATGACTTTTTTATTAAAGTAGAAGAAATCTTTGCCCCACTAAGTTTTGCTTGTCACTATTGCTTACTACTAACTTTCACTAATTCAAATCTGTGTCACACTGCTGCTCACACATATACATGTGTTTCTTACCTTAGCCTAACCCTTCTAAGCCCCTGGAGTCATTACTTCTGTTTTGTTTTTCTTTCTTTTCTTTCTTTCTTTCTTTCTTTCTCCTTTCTTTTTCTTTTTTTTTTTTTTTTTTTTTAATGGCACTAGTAAATGACAACCGAAAGTCTTAGGAAATCCTAACCTGAAAAGGAGTCTTTAACTGGCATGGTTTGATTAATACTTTACCTGCCCACCCCCTCTCCCCCCACACCCCCCAAAGACTTGAATGATTTTCTTTCCTAATGCTATATGATAGACCTGTAAAAAGTGAAACCTTTGCTGCTGCTTTTCTGGGTTTACATATTTTTTTCCTGCCCTTAATAATTTCTTACCTGTGCTTCTCTGATGACTGTTACTTTCTAATAAGTGCAGGAAGGAGGTGAGCCTGAGATTGTTTCTCTGACTCCCCTCCTCACCCTACCCCCAAACTACATGCTAACCTCTAACACACACAAGACCGGGGGCCGGGACTCAGCAGAAGCTGTGTGGGTGTTTTCTCATATGCTGCCACTGTTGCTGTGGGAGCTGGCCCCTGAGGGCCTGTGACTTCCCAGGACGAAGGGTTGCAAGCTACTGTTGGTAGGGGAGAAAAAGACCTTCTGCATCTGCCTTTCTCCGTTCCTGTTTAATGACTCAGCCTTTAGCCTCCTCCCACCCTAGCTGCCTCCTTTTTCCTACCTGGAACTGTTTCCAGGTTACCTGCCTAGTGCAGTTCCTGGCCGCTCTCCCCAGCCTTGCCCACCTTCTGGTGACACTGAGAGCACAGACCTGTGCAGAGTTCAGACAGCAGGGAGGACAACCCCTGCCCATTGGACTCTGCCTGAGGACACAGATGGGTGGGCAAATGGTGCTGGGAGAGAAATTCTTACCTTCAAACCAGGCTGTTTCATCCCTGCACTGACCCCCTCTGACGCCTCTTCCCCTGAGGGGACAGAAGGCAGAGGATGGTTGAATGGCAGGGTCTGATCCCAGACTTGCTGTGGCCTAAGCCTCCTTCAGCTCTGCTTTGGAGTGCTTCAGTGCGTGAGAACTGCTGCTTTCTTGTTTCTCCACTAGGCCTGCACCAGCACTCAGCTGGTCCCTGCGGCTGACACACAGTCCCCGACTTGGTGACTGAACACCAGGTTCCATTAGCTGTCCAAGTGACTGCTTCCACCCAATACTTTTGGCGCTTGAGGATGGGGGGGGAGGGAGGGTTATTTAAAATCCAAGGTGGCAGTAGAGGATTCCTTTTGCTTTAAAATCTTTGGACTAAAAGAAAAATGTTTTTTATATATAAATATATAAAGTAAATTGTTATGTAACTATTACTGTTTCCTGTATGTTCTAATTTTGTTTATGATGTAATTAAAGGAAATAAGCTGTGAAGACTTTTCATTTTGCTGTGGAAATAGCCTGACTCGGAGCTGTGATTCTTAACTTCCTTGAACCCTAGAACTACAGAGGCTCCTGAGGCCGAATGAAGGCACTTCTTTTTGGCATCCTTATATTTTTTTAAAGATTTATTTATTTATTCATGAGAGACACAGAGAGAGAGAGAGACAGAGACACAGGCAGAGGGAGAAGCAGGCTCCACACAGGGAGCCCTACGTGGGACTCGATCCCCGGTCTCCAGAATCATGCCCTGGACTGAAGGCAGCGCTAAACCGCTGAGCCATCGGGGCTGCCCAGCATCCTTATATTTTTAAAATATTCTTTAACCAATACCCTTATTAATTATTTTAATAGGCTTAATAACCTTTTTAATAGCCTTTAATACCCTGAACAGCTGTATCTAAGAAAAACAGAAGACATAATATAAATCAGTTTCTTTTTTTTTTTTAAGTCAGAGTTTCTAAAAACCTTTGTTTTAATTCATTTGACAGCAGCAGTTCAACTGAGTCCCCTGTGAGAGCATGCCCTCACCTTGACTAGGAAGGAATAAATAGAGTAGTATAATGGCTAAAACAACTCCAAGCCAGATTGCCTGACTTCCATCCAAATAACCTTGGCCAGTTGACCCTTCTGTCTCCGTTCTTCATTGGTAAAATGAGGATAACAGTACCTACTTTTTTAGAGAATGAAGATTAAAAAGATAATGACAACATGGTAGATACTTGTTACCTGCTTTTTTGCCCTTCGTGTCAACAAAGTTCAGTATCTAGTCTGTGCAAGAGGCTCCTGGGTTGAGACACATACACAAAGGTTAATCCAGTAGGGTTCCTGTCCTTTTGGTGGAGATGAGCAGTGGAGCCAAAACAGCAACCTGAACTTCAGTCTGAAGTTAACCACCCTGTCGTGAAACACCCATGGGGAGCCCTATGGAAGTATAGGCCACATGTGATCAGTGCTGAGATAAATGATCAATGAGGAATTAAACAGATCTTTTTAAGAGGGCATCTTGGCTTGTCTTCCACTCCATACATGTGAGTTTTCTGTTTTCGTGTTTGAAATTTAAGACTTACTTAATTTTTTTTTTTTTTTTTTTTTTTAGAGAGAGAAAATCTCCAGCAGACTCCCACTGAATGCAGAGCACCAACCTGGGGCTCAGTCTCACAACCCTGTGATTATGACCTGAGCCAAAATCAAGAGTTGGAGACCCAACCAACTGAGCCACCCTGGTGCTCCTCAGTGTTTGAGATTTTTAATAATATTCCGAGGGGGTGCACCTGGTGGCTCAAGTCGGTTGAGTGTCTGCCTTTGGCTCAGGTCATGATCCCAGGGTCCTGGGATGGAGCCCACATTAGACTCCCTACTCAGCAGGGAGTCTTCTGCTCCCCCTGTCCCCCCATGCCCACTCATGCTCACTCCTCGCTCTCTCTCAAATAAATAAGATCTTAATAAAATAAAATTCCCAGGGATCCCTGGGTGGCGCAGCGGTTTGGCGCCTGCCTTTGGCCCAGGGCGCAATCCTGGAGACCTGGGATCGAATCCCACATCGGGCTCCCGGTGCATGGAGCCTACTTCTCCCTCTACCTGTGTCTCTGCCTCTCTCTCTCTCTCTCTCTCTGTGTGACTTTCATAAATAAATAAAAATTTAAAAAAAAATTTTAAAAAAATAAATAAATAAAATAAAATTCCCTACCCTAAATAGTTCTCTCTTTACTTCATCCCTTTAAAAAAGAAAAAAGATTTTATTTTTAAGTAATCGCAACATTCAACGTGGGGCTGGAACTATGACTCGAGATTAAGAGTCGCATGCTCCACCAACTAAGCCAGCCAGATGCCCCTGCATTTTCACTTTTTAAAACAGTTAATTTAATATAAAATTGGTTTTCTACATGGAAAAGGATACACACAAAAAAAAAATCAGTTTCAGGTCAATTATTGACCTAAAAGTGAAATGCAAAATTAAAATTTTAATTTTGCAAAATATGCATAGGAAATTATGACTTTAACATAGGGAAAGATTTCTTAAGACCTAAAATACCACTACATTATTTTAAGATTTATTTATTTTAGAGAGCATGAGCAGGAGGGGCAGAGGGGGAGAGAGAAGTAGACTCCCCACTGATCAGGGATCCCCATGCAGGGCTCGATTCCAGGACCCCAGGATTATAACCCAAGCAGAAAGCAGATGCTTAACCTGACTAAGCCACCCTGGAGCTCTAAGTCTCTAGAAGTTTTAAATAAGCATAGTAATTTGATAGTTGAATGGGCTTTTTAGAGGCTCGGTGCCCACACTAGTTGGAGAAAAGAAAAAATCCAGCCAGATTAATCTATTCCTCTGAGACTCCATCCCTTGCTCTAGTCTATAGTTTAAGGAGAGAACATTTCCCCAAGAGGACCAAAACACCCAGAAAGTTTAATAAGCATTGAACAATACATTAAATATATATGTGCCTTTAAAAATTAACTTTTAATTTCAAGAAAAAGAGGTGAATACAATTTTAAATAAACAGGAGTCGATGCACCCAGTGTTTAGGCAGCACTGCTTGGGGCAAAGGTGCCTTTTCCATATTGGCAGGTTTCATGCCTCACAGGCTTGACCAGCTGAGCAGAAAGAGATGTGAGCCTGAGGGCGGCTCCCTGCCTCTCTAGGGGTAGGATATGACACCACCTGGAGCCTGATGAAGCAGCTGAGGATTTAAACCAGGCTTCTGGTGAACATGGGGCCCCAGAGAACCAGGCTGGCATCAGTCTCCAACTCTTGCAGTGGGATGTCCCTGGGCCTAGGTGAGAACCAGGTAGTAGCCATCTGGATTCTGCACTGCAAGCAGTGAAAAGAGCACCACTGGGATAAGACTGGCCAGCTACCACCTCTGCCACTCCCAAACCAAGCAGCCTGCAGGGCATCGGCCACACCCAAGTGTTCCTCCCCCAACTGAATCTCCGTCTTGAGGAAACCTCTATCCTGTAGGAGGGATAGAGGGCAAGCATCTGAATAACCAGAACCACAAGCCAACTGGTCTGGTGCTCTGTGCCAGGTGATGCCCAGAAGCATCTTCTGCCTTATAGGATTGGGGCGGGGGCAGAAAAGACCCTCTTAATAAATGCCCTGACAGGGATCCCTGGGTGGCTCAGCAGTTGAGCGTCTGCCTTTGGCTCAGGGTGTGATTCCCCGGGTCCCCGGATCGAGTTCCGCATCAAGCTCCCTGCATGGAGCCTGCTTCTCCCTCTGCCTGTGTCTCTGCCTCTCTGTCTCTCATGAATAAACAAAAATCTTTTTAAAAAAATAATAAATCCCCGGACATAGAAACTGGAACATTTCTTCCCTCGTGAAGATGCATTTATTCAGATGGGTTTTATTCCTGAGCGGTAAATAGTTGCCTTGCAGCTATATGAATCTGTCCCTTTGACATCAACAAAGCTGGCACTCAGATGTTTACCAGTTGATTGGGACACAGCACACACTGCACCCCACTGCCAGCATATACATACCTTCGAGGAATCTTAATCTTTCTAGGTTCTGCCAGACACAATTCTCTCTCTCTAAAACCCCTACCTTTTTTCACCACAGCCACAAAGTATGATTCATCCTTGAGATTCTGAACCACCTGCAAGGGAGGAGGGAAATTGTCACTAAAGACAATTCTGTTCTCAGAGCCAAACAGAATAAGCCAGGGCAGGAAGAGGGAAACTGGGCTGGAGGTGGAAGAGTGATGAAGGCCCTTGTGGGGCCTGACTGAGAATCATGACTTATTTACCTGGTCGCTGAGGAGAATGAGGATGCCCCCAGGGCCCTGGTGGAAGAGGTGGTGGATCTGATTGGCTGGGAGGGCCAAGAGCTCAGCCAGTTTCCCCATCAGCTCCACAGCACTGAGTTCATCTAGAGAGATCTCTTGATAAAAGCCTGGGGGTGTGGGCAGCACAGGGCAGGGATCAGTGGGGTGCCCTTTACTGGGAAGGAGAGTGCAAGGTGATAGCCTCTTGGGGGACAGGCTCAGGAAGGAATAAAGAAGGAAAGAGGCTTATAAATCCACTTAATCCTCACCTATTCCTCAGCTTTGGGGAGGCCTCAGACTGTAGGGAGCCCCAATTTAAAAAGGTGAGACACCTACATATGAATGGCTGAAACCCAAATACAATAAGATTACAATGTTCTCATCCTACATATTAACAGAATGACAAAGTCAGACAGGGTTGGGGAGTAGAACATGAAAGAATAAACCTAGGATACATCTTGGAAGGAGAGGACTAATCTGGTCGTGGAAGACACGGGAATGCCAAGGAGGGCATCCTTGGATCCCAAGAATGATGGAGTATCATCCTCTCCTCAGGCCAGAAAAGGTTTAATGCAGCTACACCTGGATCTCTTGCCTTCTGGAAACAGAGGCCAGACCCTCACCTGAGTCATGGTTCTTAGGAACCTCATTCTCTCGCCTCGAGGCCTCCTGCGTCACATACAAAGTCAGCCGGTGACGAATGGGTCTGGGTCAGAAAAGCAGTTTACATATCAACACTTCCTACCTAAATTAACAGCCCCCCTCCCTAGCGGGGAGGAGGGGAATCCCACTCCCCAGGTCTCCAGGGAGGTCACCACGAATTTAATGAATGCTGGGCCCTGGGGGAAGAGAGGATGAGAAAAATTCATCTCTATCCTCCGAGTAATGCAAGTGAGGTGGCTACAGAAAAAGATCACAGGACCTAAGTTTTCAGCGCATCCCTGCCAGCCTTGCTCTGTGACCTCAGGTCACTGTCCTTGGGCCTGAGTTCCTTCCTCTTTAAAAAGAGGGTGTGGGACTAAGTGGTCCTTAAGGTACCTTCCAGCTTGAACATGCCATGAGACACAACCATTAGCTGAGTTGGTAAACGCCACTACAGAGGAAAAGGGCTCCTGGTTGGCAGTACCCAGCACCTGGCTCTAAGAGCATTGAAAAGGCGGATCCCATCGGCAGCCCCGCAGATCTGGATAAGGTCCTGGCGGGTAAGCTTCAGCAGATCAGTGCCTGCGGAGTCAGACAGGACCAGATTGGGGGAAAGAGGCCTGGGATCAAGGGTGGCAAAGGACACAATCCAACATCAGTCTACAAATAGCCTTAAGTATGTGCAGACATGGGGATCAAACTTGGATTCAAATCCCAGTTTTGCCATTTGCTTCTTAGCTGTGTGTCTTGGGGCAACTTACTTAACCTCTCTGAGCCCTATCCTCATGGGTACTATATAAATTACATGGGATAATACAGGAGAAGAGAGCCTTGCAGGCATAGTGCCTGGCAACTTTCAGTCCTAAATAGAAGTCAGCTGAAGAACACACAGCAAGCCAGGCCATAGGCAGATCCCTGTGTGAGTGTCCTGCCCTCAGTCCCCTACAGGTAAGGTCCCTGCCAGACCCCAGCCTCACCAGTGAAATTGGCCAGCACCCGGCAGTAGCTGGAGAACCGGTGCTGGTGCAACCACTGCTGCGTCTCCAGGATGGAGGCTCCAGAGTTCAGATCCTGAGGCATAAAGAGGGCAATCCTGGTATCACCGTGGGCCTAGGGACTGAGAACAGGGGTAGGAGAAACGCAGCCCTGCCCTTGGGGGCCGCAGGTCTGAAAGCACTCAGGAGGCTCAGCCTACCGGTGGCAAGTGCCCAGTCCTCTGTGGCCATACAAGCTCTGTCCGCCAGGGGGCAGGGCCACCCCACTCTGGAGGGTGAAGCCCGAGAAGGCTCTGGGATAGAGGTGGGGGGGATCGGAAAAGCAAGACGCACCTCAGCCGGGCTGCCCCCCAAGGCGTCCAAGGCGAACGGTGGGGAGGAGCAGAGCCTGTGGGGGAGCAGAGAGTCGGCAACGCGGCCAGCCCCGCTCCCCCCGCCCCCTCCTTCCCTGGGCTGCAGAGCTTGTTGGGTCACCCCGCGTATAACCCGAAGGGCACAGGGCCGAGCCTCCTGCCCTCCGCCGCACCCCCAATCCTGCCCCTCCCCGGACCGCTGAGCTGAGGCGCTCTCCGCGTCATGCTCGCCCCCCCCCGGGGGGCTGGGAGGTGCCCTCCCACCTCACCTCTCCGGGGACAGGAGCTTGCAGGAGTGGGGAGAGGTCAGAGCAAGAGGGGTGAGAGGCGAGTAGGGCCCAGTGCCGGGATCTGGCCACGGCGAGCACTGTGGGGAACAAGCCACCGGGGTCAGCCTCGGCGTTCCCTCAGCCCTTCGGCGAGAGCGGACAGGGGCCTGCGCTGGGCCAGGCGTGGTCCCTGCCCCAGGAGTCCCTGACAAGCAGACCAGACTCCCCTGGAAGCAGGAGAGAACACTAGCCGAGGCCTGGCTGCGGGAGCCGCAAAGCTTCCAGGAGCAGCTGGCCAGCAGCAGCGCGGCAGGGAGCGGGGCGGAGCGGGGTGGCCCGGCAGAGGGGGCAGCAGGTAGGTGGGGCCACGGCAGGTGCAGGTGCGGGAGAGACAGCCCAGGCTGGAAGGCGTTAGCGCCGGAGTCCCCAGCAGACTGTGCAGCTCCTCCTTGCAAGGAAACAGGTGGAGTCACAGGGCACTGTGATGATCCTGGAGCAGCCACAGCCCTCGGGCCTCAATTTCCCCACGTGTACAATAAGGATCTCTCCTCCAAACCCCTCTCTGGCCCCCACCACCTCGTGGCACCTGCACAAACACCGTCCTCTCACAGGCGGCCTGATACTTGTCTCTCTCCTGCAGGGGCTGCTTCTCTATCTTCTCCCGGTCCGTTTTCAGTTTGCGGTCAGCTCCTTTGGGCTACAGGAGAGTGACAAGGAAAACTCAGCGGCACCCCCTTCACCTGCCCACTGCTCATTACAGAAGAGGCTCTAGAACGAGCTCCAGCCCCATCCCTCCGTGTAGAGAGAGAAGGGGACTGCAGGCTGGCATCCACCCAGCCAGCCAAGCAAGGGTGATAGTCCTGAGAAGGATGGGAAGGGACCTGCCTGTACCTTGAACACCTTGATGAGGCAGCCAGCTGAGTGCAGGTGCTCAGGGGGAAGTTCCTTGTCCCTGGGCTTGAAAGTGTCAATCTGGAGGCGGAAGGGGACGCCTTTCTCCCCACCTTTTTTCCGAGGAGTGAACTCAGTGCTGATACAGTGAACCTGAAGTGAAGAAGAAAAGAGAAAGCAGGGTGACTGCAGGTCCCACCCACAATCAAGAAAGTCCACATAAAACCTGTTACCTAGGGATCCCTGGGTGGCGCAGCGGTTTGGCGCCTGCCTTTGGCCCAGGGCGCTATCCTGGAGACCCGGGATTGAATCCCACGTCGGGCTCCCGGTGCATGGAGCCTGCTTCTCCCTCTGCCTGTGTCTCTGCCTGTGTCTCTGCCTCTCTCTCTCTCTCTCTCTCTCTCTCTCTCTCTCTCTCTGTGTGTGTGTGTGTGTGTGTGACTATCATAAATAAATAAAAATTAAAAAAAAAAAAAAAAAAAACCCTGTTACCTGGGGCAAACCAGGTGGCTCGGCGGTTTAGTGCCGCCTTCAGCCCAGGGTGTGATCCTGGAGACCCGGGATCGAGTCCCATGTTGGGCTCCCTGCATGGAGCCTGCTTCTCCCTTGGCCTCTGTCTCTCTCTGTCACTCATGAATGAGTAAATAAATATTAAAAAGAAAAAAAAAACCTGTTACCTGCTTGTCAACCTGCTTGTCACTTGTCAGCCTTTTACTGCAGCAACTTTCCATCCCCAACTAGAATTTCTTCTGAATGCATGACTTTATTAGGTTCTTTCCCTTGCTCAAAATTCTTCAGTAGCTCCCCACGGTTCTGGGCCGAGAAGCAAAGTTCCTGACTCTCGCATTTGAGCATGTTAAAAAGTCAAGTCAAGCCTTTCTGTGAGGCTGCTCTCTCTCACCCATCAATGAACACACTGACCCACCTAGCCAGCCTAATTATGGACCCCAATACACTTGTACAGTGCTCCCTAGAATCTTCTACCTGGAAAGCAATGCCTTCTCTCATCTAAGCCAAAATATCCCATTCCAGGGTGGAGTTGCCAGTTAAAATACAGGCTACTCAGTTAAATTTGAATTTCAGATAAACAAATAATTTTTTCGTATATATATATGTCCCAAATATTTCATGCGATATTCTTTTCCCCACCCCATGGGTCATTCTTATACTAAAAAGTTTTTTATCTAAAATTCAAATTTCACTGAGTGTCCTGTATTTTATTTGCTAAATAGAACAGTCTACTCCAGGAAGCCTTCCCACCCTGCCACTCCACACAGCTTGTGGCCTCTGTGTACTGCCTGGCAGATCTTCCCCTCTGTTTACCTTCACTGCCCACTATAGTCCTCCGACAATCTTTTTTTTTTAAGATTTTATTTATTTATTCATGAAGACACAGAGAGAAGCAGAGACATAGGCAGAGGGAGAAGCAGACTTCCTGTGGGGAGCCCAATGCAGGACTCGATCCTGGGACCCTGGGATCACGCCCTGAGCCAAAGGCAGATGCTCAACCACTGAGCCACCCAGGTGCCCCAGCTCTCCCACAATCTTGCGAAGAACAGTTAAAGGATCTTACTTGACAGGTGGGGAGAAAAAGATCATGTGACCTGGGCAAGGTCCCACTAGGAAGGGGGGAAGTGAAATTGTACCACATCCACCTGACCTCCACTCCAGTCCAGGTGCTTAGACCATGATGAACACTCAAAAGAGGGACACACAGGTAACTTTTGACAATACTGTTGGATTATAAAGGGAAACCTATTCAACCTAGAAAAGATGGAGGACTCTGACTCAGAGTAAGGAATACATCCCTGTTAACACTGAAGGATCCTTTCTTTCTCCCTTTTCTCTGGGCAAGAAAAAAGGGAAAAAGTACAGTAAGATGTATACATACACATGTTGTTTTTATCCAATGGAAATCAAACTTTAAATGCAAGTTTGTCTTCTACTTTCTCTTTACTTATAGGAAAGCAGTTTCTTTTATCATGTTCTGGCTACATAATTTCCTGTATACATCTGTAGTCAAACTTAGGTAAAAGTCAATCTTCTTCCAATGGATGCTTTGATTGTTTAAAATCTTTGAACATGAGAAAGAACGCTGCTATGAAGAGCTAGTCAAAGAGTACATCTTTGTACTAGAGCTATCTTTGTGTACTTATTGAACACTGCTGTCAGATAAATTTCTTTTTTTTTTTTTTCAGATAAATTTCTTGATATGGAACCACTAGGGGGTGGGTGCCTGGGTGGCTCAGTGGGTTAGACGTCTGACTCTTGGTTTCAGTTCAGGTCATGATCTCAGGGTCTTCTTTTTTTTTTTTTTTTTAAGATTTTATTTATTTATGGGCAGCCCGGGTGGCTCAGCGGTTTAGTGCCACCTTCAGCCCAGGGTGTGGTCCCGGAGACCAGGGATGAAGTCCCATGTCAGGCTCCCTGCATAAAATCTTTTAAAAAATTGTATGTATAAAAAAGAAAGAAAAGAAATGGAATGACTAGGTAAAAGACTAGGAACCCAAACTTTAATGAATTTTGCCCAAGTGCCACTCTACCCACAGAATGAGTACACACTAATCTGCATTCTCAGGATATGAGGGTGTCTGTTTCCCCAAACTTCACCAATAAGAACCTTTTTTATATGTAATTTTAATTAGCATTTTCTGAGGTTGAACTCTCTACAATGATTGGCAGTTTATATCCTTCGTGTATAAAATGTCTGCTTATATCCTTGGCCTATTTTTCTATTGAGCTTTCATCTATTTTTTTCTTTCTTTTTTTTTTTTTTAAGATTTTACTTATTCATTCATGAGAGACACAGAGAGAGAGGCAGAGACACGAGCAGAGGGAGAAGCAGGCTCCATGCAGGGAGCCTGATGTGGGTCTCGATCCTGGGACTCCAGGATCATGCCCCGGGCCAAAGGCAGGCGCTAAACCACAGAGCCACCAGGGATGCCCCTCATCTATTTTTTCTTATTGATACATTAGAACTTTTTATATATTGAGGATATATGCATTATATGTCACATATGGCAATTATTTTTTCCCATTTGATGTCTTCTTTTAATTTTGCCTATGTATTGCAGACCATTACTTTTTATGAAGCTAAGTTCTGTTCTGAGTTTCCTAGCTTCTTTCATTGCTTTAAGGTTTAACAAATCCTTCCCTGCGATGAGATTCAATAAACATTTAGCCATATCTGGGGCAGCCCGGGTGGCTCAGCGGTTTAGCACTGCCTTTGGCCCAAGGCGTGATCCTAGAGTCCTGGGATCAAGTCCCACGCCTGGCTCCCTGCATGGAGCCTGCTTCTTCCTCTGCCTGTGCCTCTGCCTTTCTCTCTGTGTGTGTGTCTATCATGAATAAATAAATAAAATCTTAAAAGTAAAAATAAACATTTAGCCATATCTGATCTTCAAGGTGCTTTCTGTAAGCAATTTGTTCTTACTGTTCCCTCACCCCAACTCGAACTCATCTTCCTTTCCCAACTACCACCCCCATCTGACTTCCGGCCTCCTCCCAGTCCCAGCTTCAGACTCACTTGCAAAAAGAGGGAGGTCCTCTTGGTTGGGTTCCAATTAAACTCCACCATGTTGAGTTGTGAGGGCAGCACTCGGGGTTCTATCACTCCCACAGACAGCGGCACATCTGCAGGCACAAGGTGGCAAGTGGGGAACAAGGCTCAGCCCTCCCCATCCACAAGGCCTTCTGAGCCAGAAAGTAGCCCTGAAGAGTTTCTGGTCCCTCCCCATTCACCAATGTCCAGGATGCAGTCCCCTGGCCGGCTCCACCTCCACCCATCCAGCTGTTGCTGCTCTGTGTACTGCAGGCGTCGGTCATGGAAAACCACACGTACCACACTCTGTGGGCACAGAAGAGCATGGCTCACAGGTCAGAGGGTGCCTGGACATTTGGGAACCAGTTCCCACAGCTGGGGCAGGCCAACCATCCTGCCCTCCTCACCCCACCTTGCTTCCTGCCATCCGGGGACAGAAGAACTTAGATCACTAGGTCTGTGTCCAGAGGCCCACCTCCCACCCTCAAGCTGTGAAACTAGGGAAGTAACTTAGAGGTCCTGAGCCTCAGTTTCCTTATCTGTAAGATGGGGGAGTGAATCCCTTCCCACTCCTTGTCACTCTACTTATTTTTTTTCTTGCTGCACTTTTCAAATTGCAATTGGTAAATCAATTTGTCATTGCATAAAATTTGTGTAATCACATGTTTGTCTCAGTAGAATGCAAGCTCCCTGAGGAAGGGAACCACATCTGTTTCTTTACTGTTGCATCCCTAGCTCACAGAACGGTTTCTGGCAATGCATGGGAGCTAAATATATAATTTTTTTTGAGAGAAGGAATACTGTATGTGAATAATGCTATGTAAATGTATTTCTAAATCCCAGATCTGCTACTTATATGTCCTTGAGATTAACCTCTCTGCGCCTCTCCTCAGCAATTCCTCCCTACCACCGTGCCACTGTGAAGGTCAAGTTACAAGGTGGATGGAGAGGGTTCTAACTTGACAGTGACATCACAGCAATGACACTGGCTTCCTGCCCAGAGGGACAGTCACACCAAGCCCTTGCCAGTTCAGGAAGGGGATGCATTTACCTTCAAGAGCTGGGCCCACTGGGTGGCATCGCTCAGCTTGGGACTGCAGAGCATCCGCACCTCATAGGACTGGCCTGAGAGAGGTCAAGGGGATGTGTGAGCCCCATTGGGGTAGAGATGGAGCCTGTCCACCCCCATCTCGCACTGCGGCCCAGCTCCAGAGCTTGCTGCCCCGCTGAGCCCTTCCCTTCCCTAGGCCCCACGTACCCTGATTCAGGTAGGTGAGGGTCTCTTCCTGCTGCTTCACAGCTGGGGACGTAGCTGCACAGAGCACATACTGGAATGTGGGGCAGGGAGGCTCAGAGCTGGGGATGTTGTGCAGCTCTTCCTGCTTCAGGTATGGCAAGGGCAGGGACTCCCTGCCGGGAATAGGAGAGCACTGGTGTCTTTCTGCCCCATCCACCTCATCCCCTATGGGGCTCTGCTGCTCTCAGCCAGACCTTCTGGGGAACCAAAGGCTTCTGTAGCAGCCACTCCAGAAGCAGCCAGGGCCTCAGAGTCCCTGGTTCAACTCTCTGGCTTCTGGGAGACCTCCTTTAAGGGGCAAATTCCAGATCCTACTAAACATCTCCAAGAATCAGCCATCAATTACTTGTTTGCAATCTCAGGGCTTGTCTGATACCAAGTAAATGCCCAAGAAAAGTACCTCAAGAGGGTGGGTGGTCAGGGTGTTTTGAGATGTTCCAGGATCCACTAACCATATGACCACTTCTCTTCTCCAAAAGGAACCCAGGCACAGGAAGCCCATCTCCCTCCTCTATCTGTCCATGCAACTCAGACCAGGACCTTCCCTGGAGGCTGGGGGAAGGGGTTCTGGCCCTTACCTGAGCAAGCCACTTGGTGGCCCTGGGTACAGTTCCCCGGGACTGGGCCACAGGTGATCTGGCTGGTTGTGCCAAAACAGCATCTTGGGAGAGGGAGAAGGGCCAGCTGTGTGACAGAGAGCTCAGCCTGGGTTGGGCTGGACCCACTGGACTGTCCACTTGGGGCCCCAGCCTTTATACACAGAAGCAAACTCACAAAAGGGTGGGGCAAGGCCAGGAACCTTCTATTGGCTAAGCACCCAGGGCTTTAGAAACCACAGGACCTATCAGGCAGCCCAGGCAAGGGGAACCAAGAAATGGCATCCCCAGAGCTCTCCACCAATCGTTAACTCAAAGGAGAAGTGGTGGTGCCACAAAACAAAGTCCCAGGGATGGACAACCACTCCCCACCACTCCCCAAGAGGCTTAGGGACAAGGAGGGGCAGGCTTGGGCTTCGAGACTGGCCCCAGATCCATAAGCCATGTAGAGTCCTGGAGCCCCACAGGCCTGGGCCCTCTCACGACCCTGTGAGAGGAGCCTGACTGCTCCAGGGGACAGGACAAGTAGACACACGGAATCACATGGAACTACAAAGGGCCTTTACTCTCACTGGCCTCCCCTTCCCCCCATCCCCCCGCCACAGGTGTGAGAAAGCAGGACACCTGTCCTTTTTCTGAGGGCTGCATGGCTAGGGGACTATGGTTTACAGAACAGTCCAGCTTGCTGTGGAAACAACTCCGGGTGGTGCTTGGAGGGGGAGCTCGTGTGTAGGGAGGAGGGCTGTGCCTGGGAATGCCCCCTCCCAGGGCAGTAGAAGGACAGAAGTCCCAATCTGGTGATGGCTTTGCTCCTCCTCTGCCTGGTGGCTTGAGGCAGACTGTGTTTATGGACAAATAAGGTCTGCCTGGGGGACGGCTTCTTCCCCACACTCAGCCTCTGTTGTCACTGTACACAGACAGCCCAGGCCCCCTATGCCCACCCCACCCACACTACTGTGTTTGGTATAAACAGACCAAGGTCTTGCAAAAAGCAGACACAGCCTCTAAAGATGTGAAGGTCTTGCAAAAAGCAGACACAGCCTCTAAAGATGTGACAAAAAAAAAAGAAAGAAAGAAGAAAGAAAGAAACAAACAAAGAAAGAAAGAAAGAAAGAAAGAAAGAAAGAAAGAAAGAAAAAGATAGAAATGATGTGGCCTGACCTCATGTGACCCTAGCTAACTAGGCTTTGTGATTCTGGGGGAGAAAGAAAGCCAAAGAGTACCCCCCCCCAACACTAGGCAGGGCACCTCCAATCCAGGTACCTGGCTCTTGGTCCTCTACATGCTTTCTCCTCCCATGAAGCCAGACAAAATGGAAGGGGGGAGAAAAGGGGGTTGGGAACATGCCTGCCAATAGGGACCAAAGAAGCCTGAAGCCCCAAGATCCCCATGATAAGATCCCCAAGACTTTGAGAACCTACCCATTGCCCAGAGTTGGATTCAAGGCCAGAAGGCCCCCACAAAACCCTCCAAGGTTGGACAGAGCAGGATTCCAGGAAGGCCAGGGGAAGAGCAGTAGGAGGAGATCCAAAAGGGCTTGGCCCTGGCCTAAAGTGAGCAGGGAGTAGGGGCAGTAGGGGTGGGCAGAAGAGATGAGCAGGTGAGTGGAGGCTTGTTATAGGGGCAGAGGTAGAAAAGGTAGAGGCTGGTATGGGCCTCCTATGAGGACACTGTGAAGAGCTGGTCAGGGGAGTAGGTGCGACTCCAGTTCCAGAACCCAATCCCCCACCACTCGGCCTCTACCCCCAAAGCTCTCTGTATTTCCCCCTTCCCCCCTGAGGCTGCCTCTCCCCAGCTCTCTTGGCTACTCCCTCCTGCCACCCATCTCAGAGTCTCTGTGCTCTGTCCCCATCCAGATGGTGTTGGGCCTGTTCCTGGTTTTCTTTGGCTCTCTCTCTAAGGCAAAAAAAGCCAGGCTCGAGGCAGATGGAGCCTGGCCAGTCACAGCCCCCACCTCACTCTCACTGTGCCCTGTGTGCCAGCACAGCACAGGGTCGAATGACCCATCCTCGGGCCAGAGGGGCCTTAAGAAACTTCTGGCCCAGGTCCCCCACTCTCAGAGAAGTCTCAGGCCCTAGGAGGTGCAAGGTGTGAGGCCCCTCAACGCAGGGGCACTTTCAGCATGTTACCTTCCTGAACCCACTTTCTTCCTCTGTAAAATAGTGAGGAGGCCTCTCTCCTATTCAGTGTGGTAGCGAGGATTAAAGGAAATTCTGTGCAGTTGCATCTGATCCCAGGGTTGTTTTTTTTTTTTAAAGATTTTTTTTTTTTTTAATTCATGAGAGACACAGATAGAGGCAGAGACACAGGCAGAGGGAGAAGCAGGCTCCCTGGGGAGAGTCTGATGAGAGACTCAATCCCAGGACTCCCGGATCACGACCTGAGCAGAAGACAGACGTTTAACCTACTGAGCCACCTGGGAGCCCCTAATCCCTGATCCCAGGGCTTAATCCTCAGAGGCTCCATTGGGGGGGGGGGGTGGCAGACACCACCAAGGACCCTCAGTGTTCCCACAAGAGCCCAGTCCTGGGAGATACAGACATAACTGTCACAGAAACTCCCCCCCCCCACACACACACAGATCATTTCAGAGAGAATTTGTGAGGGAGATTTTTTTTTTTAATGGATTTTTCCCCACCCCAATCGCTCTGTCATTTTCTATGCCACGGATAACCCAACCCTAATAATAATACCCTTTGGGTTCCCTAAAGTGAGGAAGCAAATTTTTAGCTGTAAAAATTGCTGAGAAATAACAATTGAGCGTCCTTCTCCTGGGACCAAAATGTTTTGTTCTGTTTTGTTTTCTATCCCCAGGCAACATTCCAACCTGGAGAGTTGGAGCGAAGGAAGAGGGGCTGGGAGACGTGTTCCTCATCTATCCATCCATGCGGTCACCCAACAAATGTTATGGAGTGCCTACAAGGCTGGAGCCTGCCTCTCTCTCTCTCTCTCTCTCTCTCTCTCTCTCTCTCTCTCACTAGGGAGACGCAGGCTCGGTGCAGGGACCCGGGGCAGAGTCCTCGGTGGACGGAATCCTGCCCCATCCAGGGCTCAGGCACCTCCTGCTACCTCCACTACCCCGAAAGAGTCCCGGGTCCTAGAGGCACCTGGGTGGCTCAGTGGTTGAGCATCTGCCTTTGGCTCAGGACCTGATCCAGGGTCTGGGATCGAGTCCCGCGTTCGGGCTCCGTGCCCGGGAGTCTGGTCTCCCTCTGCTATGCCTCTGCCTCTCTCTGTGTGTCTCTCATGAATAAATAAAATCTTTAAAAAAAAAAAAAAAAGGTCTTGGTCATAAGCTGTCAGCTAAATGATTTTAAAAAGGAACCTGGGCACCCTGGCTGGCTCAGCGGTTTAGTGCCGCCTTCAGCCCGGGGCCTGATCCTAGACACCCCGGATCGAGTCCCCCACGTCGGGCTCCCTGTGTGGAGCCTGCTTCTCCCTCTGCCTGTGTCTCTGCCTCTCTCTTTCTGTCTTTCATGAATAAATAAATAAGCTTTTTAAAAAATTTACTAAATAAATAAATAAATAAACAGGAACGTGGCAGTCCCCGTGTGGTCTGCGAGCCTGTGTACACGAACGCCCCCACCTGGCGAGGCCGCGGGGTCCTGGAGCCCCGCTCCGCGCGGAAGAGCGCCCCCTAGAGTTAAGACAGTGCCCGGGCGTGACTCTGAGCCCCCATCCTTTGCTCCCGAGCCTCCCCCTCTGTCACCAGGAGTCTCACCTTGGAAAAAGTACGTTCTGTTCACTGCAAACGGACTGTTTGCTTCTTAGCTTTCTTGCAGCCCAGCCACCCGGTGCTTATGTTCTCCATGTCCTTTCTCTGCCCTTCTCCAAATCCCTCAGAGTGGGCATCTGACATGCTGTTTATTCTTTGAGCACTTGGTCCAATGTCTGTTTTCCCATCAGAGCAGGAAGCCCCTTGAGGGTAGGGACTAAAAAGCAAGCCGACGTTGGGGTTACGAGTATGTGTCTTGGGCGCCTGGGTGGTTCAGTCAGTTGCCCATCTGCCATCAGCTTGGGTCATGATCCCAGGGCCCTGGGATGCAACCCAGTGGGGCTCCCTGCCCAGCTGAGACTCTGCTTCTCCCTTTCCTGCTCCCCTATTTGTGCTCTCTCTCTCCTTGTCAAATAAATAAAATCTTAAAAAAAAAAAAAAGTATGTGTCTTGAGATAGACTCTGAGTTCAAGCACTGCTGTGTGGCTTTGGGCAAATAAGAACCTTTCTGAGCTTCATGTGGCTGGCAACTTTCTAAAAAGGGGCTGATGAGAACCTCTAAGCCATATGGCTAGAGTGAAAACCGATGGAGATAACAATTGAGCCCTTACTAAATGTAGCTATCTCTTTCTCTACGCATCCCCAGTGCCTAGTACATCATATGGGTTTATTTATTTAACACTTATTTAACATTTATAAGTAAAGAGAGTCTTTATTTAATAAACTGCTCAGTACAACCATAGAGTGCTTTTCAACAGATCTACCTTCTAAGGTAGTTTGCAGGGGTTTTTTTTCTGTTATTCCCTTATCATCTTCCCTTCAGTATACAGATGGAGATACTGAGGCTCAGAGAGGTTAAGTAGCTATCTCAAGGTCACACAGCTGACAGGAGAGGATAGAGGATAGAGTCAGGATTTGAACCCTGGCCCTCTGGGTCACAATCCCTGCTCTTAATCATGGTACTATGCCCCACTCTGCTCGATAAATATGTATGGAATTTTAAAAATGAATCTCCAGGCAACATTCCAACCTGGAGAGCTAAAGAATGAAGTCTACCCCTCCCCCTAAGAAAGAGGGCTGATGGGGGAAGCGTTCCTCATTTATGAATTCATTCATTCACTCATTCAACAAGTCCCAAAGAAGTATCCCACCCAGCAACCTGGATTCCAGGCATGGCAGTGACCTGGAGCTTTTCTGAGCCCTGGCTCTCCAGCTCCAATATGGGGACAAAATACTTCCCACTCCACTCCTGGGCCATGAACCCTGAGGATGAGTAATAGGAATGACAGTAGTGGGGCTGCAGTGGTTTTCATAGATGAGGGGTGGGGCGGGCAGGGTGTGCTAATGATGGAAATAGGGGGGCAGGAAGCAGGACCTGTGGTCTCAGCAGGAGTGCCAGCCTCA